TTGCCGCTTCACGACGGCATCAATCAAATCCGAGAGATCCGAATGCGAAGACCCGCCCGGATCCATGGCTTCCCTCGCCATCGCCGCCAGCTCCCGAACTCGCTCCACCATCCTCTCCCCGCCGCCGTCCATCAGGGCCGCCACCGCCGCCGCCACCGCCTCCCTCCTCACCGCCACGCCCACCCTCTCCTCGTCCCCGAACCTCACCGCCGTCTCCGCCCCGACCCGCACCCCAACCCGCAACACCTCCACGACCATCTTCTCGTTGAGAAACTGCTCCGCGAAGAGCGGCCACGTCACCATGGGAACCCCGGCGCAGATCGCCTCCACGGTGGAATTCCACCCGCAGTGAGTCAAAAACCCGCCGACCGCCACGTGGGACAGGATCAAAACCTGCGGGGCCCACCCTTTGATGATCAAACCCCGCCCCTTGACCCGCTCCTCGAATCCGGACCCCACCAGCCAGTCGTCCAGCTCGGCGGGCCGGCGGTCGGTCTTCACGGCCCAGACGAACGGCCTGCCCGAGGCTTCCAGGCCCAGGCCCAATTCTACCAGTTGGGACGGGACCAGGCGGCAGAGGCTGCCGAGGCAGGCGTAGATCACGGACCTGGGCTCCATTCGGTCCAGCCAGGTTAGGCACTGGGCCTCGTCGATCGACGGGTTGTTGTTCCCTCGCTCGAACTTGTCGAGGTTGAACCGGTTGGTTAAGGAGACCGGACCGACGCACCAGACCCGCTTGCTGATGGAATTTCGGTACTCTTCGGCGCAGCCGTGCTCGAGGAACTCGAACGTGTTGGCCACCACGCCGAACGACTGCGTCTCGGCCTCCTGCATCTTGTTCCGGACGTCGTCGAGGTCCGGTAGCCGGAGGAACGAGCCTGGTAGCTGGGATCGTGACACGTGGTACGGTTGTGGCATGCCTGAAGGCAATATAAACCCACATTGTTTAGGAACATGCAAAGTGTGTATATGTATATCCATCATCTCTCATTCGCGAATTAATTCATAGTCACATAAGGATTGGGTAGAAGATTAAAATTATATATTCACCTCCAATTTACTTTCGAGTTTTCATGGTTATCCATGAACAATAATTTCTCTTCGTAACTTCAACAAATATGTTTATAATTACATACATATTGACATTAAATAAGTGAAAAGTAGAACAATTAATCACTAAAATAAAAAAAAATTAGTCGAAGAGAACACAATTTCATTAAAATATTATATATGTATAGAAATTATCAAATATGCCCACTCATTATCCCGAATATTCAGATTCGAAATTTAAAAATTTTCAAAAGTGTGTTAGCAAGACGTTGGGTCTCTTCCTAGCTCCTAGCACGCCTAAGCGGTGTATAGCGGTACTTGGCGTTTTAAGCAAAAATTACGATTTTAGTTTAAATAACAATTTTATAATACTTTTTCATTATTAGTTCAATTTCAAATTATTAATAACTCAGCTAACCTTCAACAAGTCAACCAGCAATATATGTCATGATTTCCTAGATTTACCATGATGAAGAGTAGGGCAGAGGGTTGGGTCGACCGGAGCTGGAGAAAAAGAACCGAACAAGCCATTTCGGAAAGATTAGCTAAAAAATTTCTTAATCATTGGTCGTGTTTTACCCTATCCACCAAAAAGTCCTTATTCCAGTTTTACCCCACCAAATTAGATCGAGTTCAGGTGAAGATCCATATCTCGAGCATCCCTACATCATGAATGGAACTAAAAAACCTACATACCCAACTCGGTCTCCATATCGTACCTGGCACGAGGAAGGGTTCTTCGTCGGACGCCGCCGAGAGATGAGCCTTATGTGCCCGTATCTTCACAGCACTCAACAACGAGAAACAAGACATCCCGTGGAACACGATCCGCGTGATGTTCAGCCGCCGAGCCATCTCCGCCGTCCACGACAAGCACCGGTCGGAGATGAGACAGCTCGGCGGCGGATCCGTCTCTCGAAGCACGGACTCGAGCGGGCCCTGAAGGAGGTCCAGGGCTTCGTAGAACTTCTTCAACAGGTCCGGTGACGGCAGCACGTCCAGATTCTCGTACCCCAACGGGAGGCCGACTTCCTGGCAAGGAAAGTGGAGCCTGACGATCCGGATCTCGGGACGGGCCCGGTGGGCCGAGCTGTTGGCCCGACGGATGACGGACTCGAACCGGGTCGAGTTGTGAGTGGTGGTGACTATGGTGACGAAGGCGCCGCGGTCGGAGATCAGCCGGGCCATGTCGATGATCGGGATCGTGTGGCCTTGTGCCATGAGCGGGAATAAGATGAAGTGCGGCGGCGGCGGCGGCGGCAGAGATGGTGGTGGAGGATGGAGTTTGGCGGGTGCGGGTACGGGTACGGGCGTTGCCCGGCCCGGGGCCATTGGTGCTGTGGAAGTTGGATGATCAGCTTAGCTGGTTAGTGGTTAGCATAAGGATATAATAGTAGATGGGATAACCTTTGTTCTCAATTCATTATTCTTATAGATGACTTGGAAATATACATGAGAAATAAACGACTCTAGGAAAATTCTTAGCTCCAACATTGGTTGGACGCAAAAGTTCCAAAGCCACATGTTAGTTTTATATTGGTGATTTCATTATTTTTTAATATTTTAATTCTTGATTTCCTTAATTGTATGCTCTCACCGAAACCAAACTGATAAGAAGTTTCAACATTTTTCATTTTAAAAGTTTTAGTGGTTTTGAGCAATGAGAAATCAATAAGAAATCGATAATACACTAACTAAGTTAATACCCATCAACAATAGATGGTATCACCAACTTATGTATGTGTAATACACTTCTTTCATATTTTCATGCTTCTTGTTGTGTTTTTTGGATTTTTCCAAATTGCGAGTTTAGTTTTTGTTTTGCTTTTATTCAAACCAAACCAAAACTGATGGGATCCTTATCGGTTATTGGTTAACCTACAACCAACTAGAACATTAACGTAACCGCTTTTATTTTTGGGAATTCGCCTGCTTTGATTTTTCGTACGCAAAAGTTTGCTTAACCAAATCAAACCAAATTGGTATCCCTGCTCTCGTGGATGTATAGGATATTTAGAGAGTGCGTAAGTAATTTCGAACGTATACGCTAAGATATTGTATCAATGTTAAAATCTTTTCTTGAAAATGATATATAGAGGAAAATATCGTAGTTTTTATAGAAAAAGGAGGAGACAATGTGGTAGTCATCTTCGAGTAGGTTAACCTTATTTGATTGACTCCATAATGTTATAGGCGTTGAGCTGGTCCAAGTCATTTGCGTATATCTAGAACTTTGCGGAGCCTCCAAATCTGAATTCATGGATGCAAGGGGTGTTCATATTCTAGGACGTTTCCTACTCTAACTATTAGCTCTAGCTAGTAGCCAAGTTGAAGAAGGTAGATACAGAAAAGTTAAGTTAGTGGATTTGTTGGTAGTTAGTAGGTTGACGGTTGAGAAGAATGAAGTCGGTGTTGAGATTCTTTAATCCATTATCTTGACTCGTTAAACAACCTAGCTAGCTCTCTGCCGGCATAGAACTAGAGTTGTTCTTTGAATAATACTCTCGTGTGAACAGCAGTCAGGTCCCGACTCAGTAGATATACGACACGTGTTAAGATCGGAAAAACCTCATTATAGTACGATATTATTTGTTGCGAGTTAAGTTCGTGTGAATTTGTTGTTGGACATCCTCCCAAAAGACTTTTTATCATGAGCGTCGTGCCCTTTCCTCCGGTGATAATCCATTTGACCCACCAATCGTCGTGCATCCCCTTCCGAACTTATCTCAAACATTTGGCTACGGTACCACTCGTTGAGATCAAACTCCGTTTGGCTCAATCCCACACTGATTTTTATTAGAGACCTTTCCAAAATGTCTCTCATTATTGGGGGTAGACATCCACTTAGGTACAAATGAGCTTTCCATTGTTTTCCCGGCGTAATATTTGGATTGAACTTCACAACACATGATTCAAAAGGAAGCTTCCCTTGTTTTTTTTCATGCAATACAAGGAACTTTCCCTTGTTTTTCCAATAATATGATTATTAATTTATTATAAATGAGATTTTTATTCATATATTTATCGTATTTCTGGCGTACACCACAACCATCCACTCCCAATAATGGAAGCCAATTTTCTCATGAATTGCATTTTGGTTTCATTGACTCCTAGCGTGTTCAACCCATCGATTGCTCCACTCCTCATTTCTTCCTCATACATGCACTGTCCATTCATTATGCTAATGGGTTAGAACTAGTACATTTGTTCTATTCAAAATCAATATTGAAAAAATATAAGTTCACACAAAATTCATAATAGCAGAAAAGACAAAGGAAGATGGGCTATCAATAAGTTGCCAAGCGAAATGGGAGAGCCCATTGGGCCCCAGGCTACTGCTGGCCTGTACCAGTTAGCATTTAGCAATACCCACAAACCCAAATGTCCCATAGACTTTTTGTTTGTATTTTACTATTTTTCCTCTTCACAAAGAAATAAAATTTTCTCTATTAAGCAAATAAAAATAATTTATAAAAAATACGTGTCATATCTAGAGGTACTAAGCACGAGAACAAACTGAAGAACGGAGAAGTTTTCCCATCAAAATCCATTTCTCCCATTTCTCATTTCCATCAGATCGTGTTCATCTCTATTACGAGAGCTATTAAATGAACGTAAACTAATAAAACGACTTGATAATAATACAAATACAAATATTTTAAACGGATAAAGTATGTATGGATACATATACGTGTAATAAACGGAGTATTTACTAACACTAACCTCTGGATGTTGAGCATGCAAGCGGGCCATTGCAGCCTGGTGTTTGAAACATTAACATATTTTGAATTGAAATACTTGTGAACAACAATTACACATTAACATATTTTGAATTGAAATACTTGTGAACAACAATTACATGAGTTTTGACAATCTTTGGAAGGAAATTGAAACAGGAGAAAACATAGCAAGTTTGATACATTACCGCTTATTGTTTGCCCAATTTCTCATCAAGATTTCAGGGTGTTTGCTTCACGATGACGAGAAATGTCTTGTATTAGCAGTTTGATGTTGGTATGAGAAGATCCTCCTTCTTCTAGGGCTACTTTCGACATTTCACTGAGTTGTTTAACTCGATTCTTTCTCTTCTCCATTTCAATCCCTTTGCCCATCAACTCTTCTATAGCTTTCTTCACATCTTCTTTCCTCACCGTCACTCCAGCCTTCTCTTCTTGTCCCCATGCCACGGTAGTCTTCGCTCCGATTTTCACTCCAACATTCAGCACGTCCACGATTAATCTCTCGTTGCAGAACTGATCCGCGAACAGTGGCCAAGTTGCCATTGGTAGGCCTGCACTTATCCCTTCCAATGTCGAGTTCCATCCACAATGTGTTAGAAATCCTCCAATTGCAGGGTGGGAAAGGATGGCCACCTGCGGCGCCCATCCACGGATCACGAATCCTCGACCTTTGCTCCTCTGCTCGAAACCGCTCTCTTCCATCCATTTCAGCAAATCTTCTGAGGCCTCACCCTCCCTGACAACCCACATGAATGGATGGTTTGATGCTTCTAGCCCCAGCGCGAGCTCTATCAATTGTGACGTCACAATGTTGCATATACTTCCGAAACAAACATAAATAACCGAATCGGGTTGTTGCGAGTCAAGCCACTCTGAGTATACTGATTCGTCTACTACAACCGGGCTACCTCTTTGGGACCGGTCCAACCGGTCCTTATTGCACGACGAGACAGGGCCCACACACCATGCCTTGCCTCCCAATGCTTCTTTGACCAATGCGAAATACTCGGGCTCCAACTCCTGGAACGAGTTTATAATTGTACCATACGACATCGCTTCAGCAGCTGCTATCCTCTCACCATACCAAGCCCAATCCACTGCACCACCAACCATAGCCAAGGGCAGCTGGCTCTTCGTCAACTCGATCCGGTCGGGCATCCCGGGCACCAGGAATGGCTCGGAATCGGAATCCAAACCATCAAGAAACCCTATGTTGGCTGCCACATTGCGAAGGCACAACAGGGCAAGAGATGAGAAGCCATTGAAGGCGATTCTTGGGATGCCATGTTTCTTGGCAAGCAAGCTAGTGTAAGGGAAAGACATGTCGGAGATGATGCAGTTGGGCCTGGGCCTGAGGCCTTCAAAGAGCTCCTCCACGACCCGCCCAAACAAAAGGTCGCTCTTGTTCATGAAGGCGATCGCTAGGCCCAACGAAGGCAGCTGGTCCAAGTTCTCGCACCGTTTCGATAACCCGACTTCTTCACACGGGGCCTCGACCTCCTCCACACGTATGTCGATGCCGGGTGGCTCCATGGCACGTGCGAGCGAGGACCGGACCCGCTTCGCGTTGACCGGGGTGGTGATGAGGGTCACTACGACGCCGTGTTGGGCCAGGAGCTTGGCTATGTCGATCATGGGGATCAAGTGGCCTTGTGCCATTAGAGGAGTCAGCACGAAATGAAGCTTGCTTGTAGTTTCGAGCTCGGGAGCCATGGAGTTTTGAGGAAGATTGGCTAAGTGAGAGGGTATAGGGAAATGGATATGAGGAGAGATTTGGAGCAATGTATGACAATAATTTGTGGGTGGAAATGTGTGTGTATAAATAGCTTGTTTCCCATAAGAAATGACGAAAGTATTGATTATTAAACATTGAATGGGACATAGTTTTTAACTAACTCCCTGAAATCGAAAGCTTATAATTTACAATATGGAGTTTGCATTACTTGTTGCGGGAAAAAGGACAGAGTGGCACGATAATGCCAATGTTATGTATGCTCTAAATTAAGGAAATTTTTTCTCTCCAATTTATTATCATATATTTATGGTAACATTGAACCTCATAAGTGTTTCCTCTATTCATGTAAGAGTAGTTAATCATGTGAAGCACTAATTGCTCCACTCGAGTTGATGCGAGAACCTAAGATTAATCATATATCGACAGTATCGTATTTTCTATATGTCATTTCATACGAAAATTAACTTATGAGTTTGAAGTTTGTACAAACAAATCATACCATTTGATTAGATTAATGGTTTTATTGAGGTCCTCATGATTCGAACATGAGGATTCTCAGTCCAAGGCTCTTACAAAGCACAACTTATAGGTTCTTGAAAAATGCTTTGATCTCATGACTCGGACCTAGTTTTGAAAAAAAATTAAGACGACTTAAGCATCTTCGGATGAGGATATACACATATATAAAGAAGTGGAAAGAATTTCATAGCTCGTAAAAGTTTGTTACTAAATCAAACGTAATTATTCATTGAGTGGTTTATCGTTTCATCTCGAGTATCTTTACAATTATGAACTTTTTTCACCTTTTGCTCTTGTCATCTAATTTCACTGGTTTGATTACTAGGCTAGACTTTGACAGGAAATATGAGAGGCCAATTGCTTTCGCACAAACAAGTTTGGACATTTTCGTAGAACGTTTTGCACGGAGAAGAATCGGATCCATAGGATTCCTGACAATTGGAACAAGGGATATGCCTCGGGGACGGCAACCCAAAGCCCCGTTACAAGAAAAAGACGATACGTTTTTGGAAGAGGACTTGTGGATTCTTCCCTAATTGATCTATGCAAATTGCCAAAAAGGCTTTTTCTCCCTTTGTTTGTAGTTTGAAGTTCCTTCCATTTTGTGACTGGGAAAGCTGATTGAGAAAGCTTGAACTATCCAAATGGCCGTCTGTGTGTACAGTCCAAGGGGCTGCGGCCTGCGAATTGCGATAGGTTTTTTTCTTTCCAATTTTTAATGGTACGCGTTCACCGGGGTGGTGATGATGGTCACTATGACGCCGTGTTGGGCCAGGAGCTTGGCTATGTCGATCATGGGGATCAAGTGGCCTTGTCCCATGTAAGGTGTCAAGACGAAGTGGAGCTTTCTTGAAGGTTCCAACTCAAGAGCCATGGATGTATGGAATTAGTTATACAAGAGGAGAAAAGGCGCAGCTGGTGAAAGTTTGAGAAAAAATTTGAAGGTTGGGTTAGTGATGAAGGTGTATTGGGTATTGGGTATGCCATATATAAACGGCTCTTCAAAAGATAAGGAGACATTTCATCGATACGGAGAAAGGTTGGCAAATTGGTTTACTCCGTTGAATCAGTCAACGAAATGGTTTGAATTTTAAAGATCTGATTGGGTTGACGTGTTTGTCGTTTTATATAATTCTAAATATGTATATAAATAGGATAGTTGTTATATATGGGGCAATCCAAGTACCAGGGTGCCAGTGGCGGATCCAAGGGGTGGCCACCCCGGGCCCCGGCCCAGCCCTCCCCTGGATTCAGAGTTAGTATATTGTTTATGAATTTTTCGATTTTAGTTATTCGGCCTAGTATTATTTTATAATAAGATTGGGTGTAACTAGAAAAATGATTCAGATTAACATATTCAAATCACTACTATAAATTTAGTCTAGAAATTCTAACTCCAAAGTCTATTTTTCTATAAAAAATAAAGAAATCTAATAGTCTAAAACGTAAAAGACTATAAAATATATAAGGTTTATTCCCTTGAAAATTTACTAAAGCAGTTAGTGGATATAGGTATGGACACACAATGCACGATTGATTTGTCTAGAGTTGACGCTGCTCGTACCAACAACTACTAAAAGGATAACCTTTTCAACAATGAAACATATGAAAACTGATTTCTCAACAAAATGAACGATGAATTTCTAGTCGTTTGCTAAAGTATTTTATTTTTAAAAAAATGTGTACTATTGGTATGGATGTGAACTCCATTATTGATGCATTCGCTAAATCAAAATACCGTCGTGTATAATTTATATTGTAAAAAAAACTACAATTTTTTTTTACGGTTCTAATTTTTTAATGAAATGCGGCCCAGTGCTCTTCTGTGTTCTGGATCCGCCGCTGCAGGGTGCCCAATTAGTACGATATTGTCCGCTTTGGGCCAAGCCCGTACGAATTTACTCTTGGGTGTCCTCCCCAAAAGGTCTCGTACTAATTCAGCTAGGTGGACACTGGACACTAATATACAAGGGTCTCTTCCCTTGTATTACCTATGTGGTACTTGAATTGTCCCACAACAATAATAATTTAAAATTTTAATGACTGAAATAAAAATTACCTCATATATATCTATTAAAAACTTATATATCATAAAAAAACTATAAAAGAAAACCTACCTAACCCCATGACCAACCACCATCTCTTCCCTCTCTGCCTCTCTCTCTTATTCTCCCTCTCTAAGGATCAGACTGTTGACTGTCTGGAGGTTGTTTTGGAACCTGATTTTGGTGGGATTGGGTCCAACCGGTCGGCCAATAGAGGTTTAACACTCTTGGTATGGATCGCATTATGGTAAAATCGTGTCGGAGGTTTTATCAGAAAAATTAGCCTAGTATTTTGAGTTGAAACCGTAGTTTTATTGTTGTTCAATCAACTTTTACATATCAATGAAAATCGCCTACCGATTTAGGATTCGAAAGACAAATTTTTCCGACCGAACTGCCTCTACAATATGATTTTACAAAGACGGTATAGATCTAGTGAGTTAAATAAATGGGATTGCTTTTAACTAATTTCCACGAGGTTGAAAGTTTTACTATTATATCGAGTTGGCACTGTTGGATGGAAAAGGAGATACTACAATACGAAAAACGATTCCATGATGAAGGCTAGATGTTGGCGGTAAGTACAAAGATAATAAAAACTATTGATATGATGAAGATCGTTTTCGTTTAGTAGTGGAATCGGGTTATTGTCGGCGAATATCCACAAACCTTAGACAACAATCTGATTAAGATGGGTAGGAGATTTGACAATGATATAAAAACGTTTCGAGTTTTTACTGGTTTGGATATTGGGCTTAGACACGCCGGAGTTGGATGGGCTATTGGGGTTTTGAGTGTGAGCATTAGCCCAAAACCATACTCGTCATGTATCCGTTTTTGTTAGAGAGTGGGATAAGATGCATAATTAATAATCTTTCAACGACTCAAATTCTTGAATCTACTATTTCTTGACATAAAATGAGTTGACTTTTCGTAAATTAGAGGTTGTTATAGGATTCGAATTCGAGATCTTTTGGTTAAGGAAAGACTCTAATATTATATCGAAAATCAATCAATTTCAATACCTCAAATTGTACAAAGAGGTCCAAAAATCAATTCTTTTTTCTTTAAAAAAAACGAAAGACATCAATCAAATAAAATGGTGAAATAGCCAAACAAAATCGCACGAAGCCTAATAACTAACATCACAATCGGAATCCAAAAGTGGCAACAGACTGAGAGTCCGCGGTGGCAATAATAGACCCTTATATGCTAGACAATTTTTAAAAGGAGAAAGTAGGACTCAAAATCTAATTGGGTGTTTAGTGCAAGCATTGTGTAAAATGTCTAATTGTGAATTTCATTACCCACCTTCTAGCCATTAAATTTTCCGTTCTTTTTTCCTTCTTAGGAGATTGGTTTAACTAATCAAGCCTAGCAGATACCAAATTCAATAGCTTATGGCTGATGAAATTTCACAAGGAACAAGTAATTAATCAAGAAACTAATATTTCACCATTTTTCCTACTCAACATGGCCTCCTCACATTTCTTGGACGTATGTTGCATGATGTCTTGTATTAAGAGCTCGATGTTAAGATAAGAGGACCCTCCTTCTTCAAGGACCAGTTTGGACTTTTCACTAAACTCTTTGGCTCTCTTCCTTCTCATCTCCTTTTCATCTCCTCCACCCATTAGTTCCTCAATAGCTTGCCTCACATCTTCTCTCTCGATCAACACTCTCGTCTTCTCTTCTTCTCCCCATTTCAACGTGGCCTCCGCCCCGATTGGCACTCCGATCTTCAACACATCCACGACGAGCCTCTCATTGAGAAATTGATCACCAAAGAGTGGCCATGTGACCATTGGCAAGCCGGCACATATTCCTTCCAATGTCGAGTTCCACCCACAGTGTGTCAAGAACCCGTCGACAGCAGGATGTGACAGGATCACCATTTGCGGTGCCCATCCACGAACTATAAGTCCTCGACCTTTGGTCTTCTCCTCAAAAGAGTAATCTTCCATCCATTTCAACAAACCTTTGGAAGTCTCTCCCTCCCGAACCACCCACACAAACGGGCCGGTCCAAGCTTCCAGGCCCAGCCCAAGCTCTATCAGCTGTGGAGTCGGGATGTTGCACAAACTGCCCATGCAAACATAAATGACCGAACCACATTCCTGAGAGTCGAGCCACTTCAAACATTCCGATTCGTTGATCGTCGACCCAGGGTTGCCCCGTTCGAACCGGTCCAACCGGTCCTTGTTGCACGACGAGACAGGGCCCACGGACCAGGCCTTGCCGCCCATGGCAGCCTTGTACCTCGAGAAGTATTCCTGCTCCAGCTCCTCGAACGAGTTGACGATCATCCCGTACGAGTAGCCTTCCGCTTCCACCACCCGCTCGCCGAGCCGGTCCAACCCGCCGGCCATGGCTATGGGCAGCTGGTTCATCGTCACCTCGACCCGGTCGGGCAACCCGGGCACGACGAATCGTTCCGAGTCGGAACTCAGGGTCGCCAGCACGCCCTTCTCGCTCTCCAGCAAGTCGGCTCCTTGGTGTATGTTGCGGAGGCAGAGCAAGGTGAAAGCCGAGAACCCGTTGAAAGTGATCCTCGGCACGCCAAATTTCCTGGCCACGGTGCTGGTGAATGGCAGGCAGACGTCGGAGATCACGCAGTTGGGCCTGGGCCTGAGCTCCTCGAAGAGCTTCTCCATGGGCTTCTCGAGAGCCTGCACGGAGTATAGGAGGGCGGCCCCTTGGCCCAGAGAAGGGAGCTGGTCCAGCGTCTCGCAGTGCTTCGGCAGCAGGCCCACTCCGTCGTCGGATGGGAGCTCGAGCTCGGCGACGGTTATTTGGACGCCGGTGGACTCCACGGCGCGGGAAACGGTGCCGCGGATTCGGCCGGCGTTGACCGGGGTCGTGATGATGGTGACTACGACGCCGTGTTGGGCTAGGAGCTTGGCGATGTCGGTCATGGGGAGCAAGTGGCCTTGCGCCATGAAAGGGACTAGGACGAAGTGGAGCTCGCGTTGAGGTAGAAGCTTGGAAGCCATGGTGGAAGGCCGTTTGGAGGAGATAGTGGAAGTAGAGGGAGAGATGGGTTTTTTTTTTTGTGGCATTAATAGAATGTAGATACATATATGCTAAGTTGATTGTTTTGACTTTTTTTGAGTGGGTAATAATACACACCTGGCAGGTGGGGTGTGATTGTGTATGAGTACTCTTCTCGATCTGACATGTCCTGATCCCCCATTACCGTCCCGTTTTTGCCTAAATTGTAGGTAATTTACTCCACTTACTTGTAATTTTACTTTTACAACTTCATATTAACTATGCTAAAGTTGTAAATAGGTAAAAGTCTTAATTTCTCAAATAGTTTAACTACATTTATCATGTTATACTTTTTTTTCTTTATTTTGTTGATGAAAAAACGATTATTTCTAATATTTTCCATTTAGTTACGTACCCATATGAATTGACCCGCCCCAACTCGCACCCCATTATAAATTACTCAATTTGTACCCTATCTGTCATAAGACAAGTATGAGTGTCGAGATACCCGCCCCAACCTATCCATTGTCATTCTTAGTTTAGACTCGTGTTTTATAATATGATTCTGACTCGTAATACAAATCTCGAACATTGGGACAAGTACATATTGTAGCTAGAGCTATGAACTTCTTTTGTTTCCCAGTTTCTGAAATTCATTAGGGTTAATCCTATGTGCAATAATTTAGCTACTCTCCCCAAATGTCTGTCCATTTATTCCCTCTGTGCATCGGCTAATGGGGGAGGGACGAACTTGTGGTGAACAACGTCGCCACAGCACCAAGCAGACAGGGTTTGATTGTGTAAGAGTTGTGTCAAAATGTCTATGTGGTCGCAATGAAAGGAGACTTGTCATTGTCTAATTTTGCAGGGAAGTCCCAACGGGAAGAAAAACGACGGGGTCATTTTTGGATGGTAGTCTCTGTCTACTAGCATATTCTTTCCCCGTCTGAATGTCTACTTGCATATTCAATTTCATGTTAATAAAAGATAGCATCTTTGTGGTTTTGGATAATACGATATCCAACTAATAACTCAAGTTGTTTGTAGATGTTCAATAATTAATCTTATAGCACATACTAATAATTGTTATGTTGTAATTTCCTTTTGTACGAAGAAAAATTGATAGAATCAAGTATAGAATCATTCCACCATTAACCAAATTATTTGAACCTGGTCTGTAACCTTATTCTTTCCATATAGGACTAAGGTTAGGCCGTTTGGAGAAGTACTATATATTTCTCATATCTCCTTAAGTATAGTGAAACTGATTCTCTCCCGCCTGTGGACTAGCTAACACACATTGTGTTAGTAAATCACGTAAATCTGTGTGTTCTTTACATTCTTGCATATTCGATTATCCTGATCCATTCTAATAACATTATGGAGCTTATCTTATACGTATAGCTATATAATACTTTATTACATAGATTTAGGTTTAGATTTAATGTTATGATCCAATTCGCATAGCGTAGTTACAATCTCCCCCGTTTGGACTTTTCCTTCAAAAACTCAATCACTAGCTGTATTTTCAGTGTTTTCTTCTTATTCGTCGTTCTAAATTTACCGAAATGCATTCAACTAATTAATTAACCCTTGCAAATATCAAATTCCATAGCTCATTGCTAATGAAATTTCACAAAGTAGCGATTAATTAATTAAGAAACCAGTATTTGACCAGTTTTCCTACTCAATATAGCCTCCTCACATTTCATGGACGTATGTTGCATGATGTCTTGGATCAAGAGCTCAATGTTAAGATAAGAGGACCCTCCTTCTTCAAGGACCAGTTTGGACTTTTCACTAAGCTCTTTGGCTCTCTTTCTCCTCATCTCCTTTTCATCTCCTTCACCCATTAGTTTCTCAATAGCTTGCGTCACATCTTCTCTCTTGATCAACACTTTTGTCTTCTCTTCTTCTCCCCACTTCACTGTGCCCTCTGCCCCGATTGCCACTCCGATCTTCAACACATCCACGATGAGTCTCTCGTTGAGAAATTGATCGGCAAAGAGTGGCCATGTCACCATTGGCACGCCGACACATACCCCTTCCAGAGTCGAGTTCCACCCACAATGCGTCAAAAACCCACCGACTGCGGGGTGTGACAAGATCACCATCTGTGGTGCCCATCCACGAACTATAAGTCCTCGACCTTTTGTCCTCTCCTCAAAACAATACTCTTCCATCCATTTTAACAAACCTTTGGAAGTCTCTCCCTCCCTAACCACCCACACAAATGGGCCGGTCCACTCTTCCAGGCCCAGCCCAAGCTCTATCAACTGTGGAGTTGGGATGTTGCACAAACTGCCCATGCAAACATAAATGACCGAGCCGGACTCTTGAGAGTCGAGCCACTTCGAACATTCCGATTCGCTGATCGCTAGTCGAGGATTACCCCTTTCCAACCGGTCCAACCGGCCTTTGTTGCACGACGAGGCAGGGCCCACGGACCAGGCCTTGCCACCCATTGCAGCCTTGTACCTCGTGAAGTATTCCTGCTCCAGCTCCTCGAACGAGTTGATGATCATCCCGTACGAGTAGCCTTCCGCTTCCACGACCTGCTCGCCCAGCAGGTCCAACCCACTGGCCATGGCCATGGGCAGCTGGTTCATCGTCACCTCGATCCGGTCGGGTAAACCGGGCACAATGAACCGGTCCGAGTCGGACCGAAGGCCCGCCAGCACGCCCTTCTCGCTCTCCAGCATGTCGGCACCTTGGTGTATGTTGCGGAGGCAGAGCAGGGCGAAGGCCGAGAACCCATTGAAAGTAATCCTCGGCACGCCAAATTTTCTGGCCACGGTGCTGGTGAAGGGCAAGGACATGTCGGAGATCACGCAGTTGGGCCTGGGCCGGAGCTGCTCGAAGAGCTTCTCCATGGGCTTCTCGAGGGCTCGGCCCATGTAGTAGAAGAGGTCGATCCCTTTGTCCAGAGAAGGGAGCTGGTCCAGCGTCTCGCAGTGCTTCGGCAGGCCCACTCCGTCGGATGGGAGCTCGAGCTCGAGCTCAGCAACGGTTATTCGGACGCCGGTGGACTCCACGGCACGGGAAACGGTGCCGCGGATTCGGCCGGCGTTGACCGGGGTCGTGACGATGGTGACGACGACGCCGTGTTGGGCTAGGAGCTTGGCGATGTCGGTCATGGGGAGCAGGTGGCCTTGCGCCATGAAAGGGACTAGGACGAAGTGGAGCTCGGAAGCCATGGTGGAAGGAAGTTTGGAGGAGTAGAGGGAGAGATGGGCTGTATTTTTGTTCGTGGATTGTAAAATCATAGGAATTTATATGTTCAAGGAATTTTGGCTCTTATTATTTTATTTTATGTGGATGCAAATATGGGAATTTCTTTGAAGGAAAAAAGAAATGTTAGTGGTGTTGTGGCTACAAGGAAAGCTTCGTTTGTAGCCAACTGGCCATCAATAACAAGAAGAGATTGAATGAAGTTGATTGGGTGGATTGTAATAAGATTTTTAGGTTCTCGTTCAAGTTTCATTTGAGGTTTCAATTCGCAATTTCTGAGTTAATTTTAAAGTACAAAGTATATTTTAGAGATAACGTGTTATGAAAAATATAATCTTCTAAGACAAAGTTTCGGACTTCTATTTTATACTCTGGTTCGACAGTAATGCGAGTCTCGACCATTGGAACAAAGTATGTAGCTAGAGCTAGGAACTTTCATTTTCCAATTGTCTGCTTGCATATTCAGTGGCAGAGCCACTTAAGGCCAATATAGGTCATTTGCACTACTTTGACTCAAAAATATAGAGTAGATTTTTTATTTGATGTGAATTGACCCAAAATTTCCATATTATTGTAGATAATTTTATTAAAAAGTAATGTTTAGTAATCTATATTTAACTTTTAATTCATATATTCTCTAGTTGAGTTTAATATAAACAAAAGCTCGAAACTTACAAGTGTTTGTTGTTATCAGTTGTCATTGCAATTGTTGAAAGAGCACTTCTAGGGTAAACAAAGTGAAGAAACACTTCATAATCAGATGAGTTGTGGAATCATGAACGATTTTTCGTCGTGGTATCTCAACGTCCCTCATAATTTGCACGATGAATGTATTTTAGAAATTTTTTTAGAACATGAACACATTCCAAGACTTGTGTTTCCCCCCACAATTGACCTACCTTAGATGAATGTCTCGCTAGGTCAATGTGCATATATTCATCTTAAGAGAATATAACAACAAAATTTGAACTCGCCATAGCACATCATGTCGTAACACTTGTTTGTTACTTAACCCTTTTTTTCCCCTCAAATGATGAGGTGTACTTCAGATTATAATTTAGTGTGGAAACCGTACAGGACATTGTACTGAACAAATCTCTCGAACAATATTAATGATGTAACCATGATTTACACAGACAAATATGTCATTCATAAAATAATAAGAAAATAATGTAACTGACACATTAACGATCAAAACCCAGTAGATCCGCCCGGTATACCATGAGTAGTAAGGAGTTTGGTAATGATTAGTACAAACTTTTCCTATATATGTATGCATATCATACTGACAAGTGACATGGCTATCTTTTTTTTTTTTTTTTTTTACAAAGAGTGACATGGCTATCGATACACTATTATTTATGCTCGCGCGCCATGTGTGGTGCAGTACAGTATCGTAATTCGTAAACCCATGGTCTCTCGATGAATTAGGTTTGCTCCACAAGTTCACGATCTCAGTTACGGAGAACATTTTGCAATCTAATATGGTTACACATACGTACTCAATGAATCGTTAGTTACATTTTGCAAAGTACCAACGCTCCAATCGGATGATTCCTTGCCGAATTAGAAGACGACGAGCATTGCCAAACTGAGACAAGGTGTACGTCCTCGTCATTGTGCTTTTCAAGTACAGTTGGATGATGTGAAACGCCGGTGGAAGATCCGGGGAGCTAGCCGGCAGTTCCACCGATGGATTGCAAGGTTGTTTCTGTCTTAATCAAGGGCAATTAGTTGTTTAATCAGACGAGAAATAAAATCCTTGTATAATCCACGGACAAAATGACACAGTTCCAACTTTCAATGGCAAAATTAATGTTAATCAACCAAAAAATAAAAAATAAAAAACTCTGGCCACATCATTGTTGCTGTCGTCTTGGCTGAAGGAGCAAACTTCGCTTTTGCTTGTATCAGCCGACTTTGGCTTTAAGGACGAAATCCAGCAATGAATTTGTAGAATTCATGGTATCTCGAGTTGTTGGGATAAGGTTATTATGGATCTTATATTATTCTCTTATACGCTCCCTCAAACGAAAATCAACTCACGGGCTTGAAGTTTGCAGGCCGGAGCAGCCAACTTTTGCTGGGGTGGCTAAATGAGATGTCTTGTTCGTTGAGATTTCGCATATGAAGGTGGTTTCAGGTTATTCGCTTTACTGGCTAACCATCGGCTACTAAACGAGCAGTACATGGTATACCAAGTGCAGTTTTTTGACTGCCGACACCACCGATTATTAGAGATTTAACCAATAACCCCTAATTACTAGTTCGATAATCCGTTAAACCGTTAACTGACTAACCGATTGCTAACCTGTTAGAAACAAACAATTTACAGCTTTTCATTATTTCGTATTATTGTCGGTTTTGATAATTGGGGGATCATTTGGGGTATTTTTATTATATGGGTAGCAGTTAGGTATTTTGCGGATTATATAATCTGCAGTAGGGAGTTATTTTGTCATTAAGCAATCAATTACAGAAAGACCTAAAACCTAATCTCTCTCTCTCTCTCTCTCTCCCTCCAGCGCCGAACTCTCTTCTCCCTCTTTCTCCTTGGCTGATCGGCAGCAGCCCTCTTTTCCCCTCTCTTCTTTCTAAAATCTCTTATTTCCAATCCCTAACTTGATCAATCCCTAATTGATCTAGCTAATTTCCCCAATTCTACAACCGTTAGAAACTTTGTTTCTAACATCTGGTATCAGAGCCCGGTTCCGATCAGTGAGTTCTTCCCAACTCCATCAGGAACAGCTTAGAAACCGGAGAATCAACGATGGTAACGACGAAATCCATGAAGGCAGCAGAGAAAGCGGAGAAGGCGAATCAGGCGGGTGACAGGGGCGCCGATGCAGGAGACGATGGGGTCGATGGGGCTGTGGAGGATCTGACCGACAATGAGGAACTGAGGAGAGACCTGGAGGCGCAGGCGAGGAGACAGGCGCGGGTGGAGGAGGAGTTGGGAGAGTTGCAGGAGAAGGCTAGGGAGCACAACCGCACCATCGAGGCCTTGACGGCAGCGGTGGAAGCCCTGGTGGGACAGGTGAGCGGCCTGACGGAGGCCTGGAGGAAAGGCGGGAATGGAGTTGGTGGAGGCGACCAGCCGCCGGAAGGGAAGAGCGCCGCCGTGGTGGTGGAGCTCGGCGGGCAGGGGTCCGCGCGGCTTCCGGAGGGCAAGGGGGCGGGCGGCTCAGGCGAGACGGGAGGGGCGGCGGGCAACCCTAGCCGACCTACCGGGTCGCGTACGGGCCAAGTCACCTTCGGGCCATCGGTCAAGGATGGGCTACTACCGACACCATCGGCCCAGGAGAGGGCGCGCGCGCGAGGCAAGGCCAAGATGGCCCAGTACGTGGAACCGGATCTGCAGACGGGCTTGGATGAAGAAGAGTTGATGGGCTTGGAGCAGGAGTATGATCACGAGCCGTGGCCCAATGAGTGGAATGGGCCCGGGGAGGACTATAGCAGGGATGAAGGAAGCCATATGGGCCGAGCTGGGATGGAAGGCGGGCCAGGTGGGAAGCGGCGAGAAACAGGCCGCGGCTGGGAGGTGGGTCGGCCGAGCTTCATGGGTCGGGGACCCGCGGGCCGGGCCGAGTATGCGGGCAGAGCTGGGTCGAGCAGGGGCCCAAGCGGTCGGGTCGAACCCGGTCGGACCAAACCCGGTCGAACCGAACCCAGTCGGACCCGGGCCGAACCAGGGCAGCAGCTGGCGCGTACAGGGGGAACGGGCAGCAGGGGCTTTCCGGCTCGCCAAGGTCAGTTTGATGAGCCTAGTGGCAATCAACCTCCGTTTGTGAATCAGCAGGGCACTGGTAGGGAATTCATGGGATCAGGAACAGGTGATCAGAGGCAGAGAAATGAGATGGGCCGAGGAAGGGGGCATCAAGAGGAGGAGGAAGGTGAGTGGGAGTATGAAGGGGGACCTCGATTCCCGCAGTATTGTCATAGTGAGGCACCGGGATATGGGAGGCACGCCGGTTATTACCGCGGGGGTGAGGCAGAAGATGAAATGGTGTTCCGAGCTAAGCCTCCTACCATTGAGTTCCCAAAATTCAATGGCAGGGAGGATGCAGGTCTGTGGATATACTCTGCAGAACGGTGGTTCAAGAACCATCCCACTAGAGAGGAACGAAAGGCTCAATTGGCGTCTTTCTATTTAGAGGGGGATGCATTGCAGTGGTGGGAATGGATGGAGCGAACCTATGCTGAAGCTCGGACGCTGATTACTTGGCCGATGTTCAAGGAGGAGTTGAGGTATCAGTTCGGCAAGTCGGAAGGGTGGGCCCCGGAGCAGTTGGCGAAGCTGCGCCAGACTGGGACAGTGGCGGAGTATCGAGCTGAGTTCTTCAAACTGGGTAACCAGTGCAAGGGCGTACCGGAGGAGACATTGGTGGGTCTGTGCATGGCGGGACTCCGCCCAGAGATTGCAGCGGCTGTTCGGGTATTTGAGCCCGATTCTCTTCGAGCTGTTTTCCGTCTTGCAGGTAACAAGGAGGAGGAGCTGGCTAGCTGGCGGGGCGTGATAGGCCGCTATCAGAAGCCGGCCGGAGGAGGAGGCAGTGGTAGCAGCGCGGGCGGCGGAGCAAGTGCAGCTACATCAGGCCCTAGTTCGGGAGGGGGTGCGGCGGCTGGCCCACCTTCGGCTGTCATTCGAGCGGGACCGAGGCCACCACCCAAGGGATTTAGGACGCTGTCTCCCGCAGAGATCGAGCAGAAGAGGCGAGAAGGGAAGTGTTTCAACTGCGACGAGCGGTTTACCTTTGGTCACAAGTGCGGGAAGCCTGACTTGATGTTCTTGGTGGGACGATGGGAAGACGAAGCGGAGGATGAGATGGCGGAGGAACCCGGAGCAGAGCAAGAGAAGCCGCAACCTTGAGGACAAGGTTGCTTCCCAAGGAGGCGGGGATGTTAGAAACAAACAATTTACAGCTTTTCATTATTTCGTATTATTGTCGGTTTTGATAATTGGGGGATCATTTGGGGTATTTTTATTATATGGGTAGTAGTTAGGTATTTTGCGGATTATATAATCTGCAGTAGGGAGTTATTTTGTCATTAAGCAATCAATTACAGAAAGACCTAAAACCTAATCTCTCTCTCTCTCTCTCTCTCCCTCCAGCGCCGAACTCTCTTCTCCCTCTTTCTCCTTGGCTGATCGGCAGCAGCCCTCTTTTCCCCTCTCTTCTTTCTAAAATCTCTTATTTCCAATCCCTAGCTTGATCAATCCCTAATTGATCTAGCTAATTTCCCCAATTATACAACCGTTAGAAACTTTGTTTCTAACATAACCATATTTTTAACCCATGCAATTTCAAATTACATGTCAATATATGTTCTCTAATGCTTTTGATAGACCCAATGCATTGAAGAATTCATCCAAATATTAGTACTTTGGTATAACATGAAATCTTACAATCACACCTTTTAAGCACTACACCTTAAAATCAGATAAATGAACAATAATTCGTCGTGGGCTGAGATTAGGGCTGCAAATGAGCCGAGCTGAGCCGAGTTTTACCCCAGCTTGAGTTTGACTCGTTAACAAATGAGCTGAGCTCGAGCCATTTATTAACGAGCCGAGTTCAAGCTAGGCTTGTTTACTAAATTCTTAGATCGTATTTGATACATTAGTTTTGTATGTCGCGTATGGTACATGCGATTGATGTAACGATAAAAAAATAATAAAATGTTCAACATTAGTTAATCTTATATTATAATTTGTAAGTATCATATTGTTTAGTTAAGCTCAAACTTGGCTCATTAGTAAAAGAGTCGAGTTTCGAACAAATTTTTTCCCGATTCGAACCTCGAGTTGCTCGTGAGTATCTCGGCTCCTTTGCAGCCCTTGCTGAGAAGACTAAACGGCCCGCCCACAACCAAATAACCTGCTGAATGTGAAGCCCAAAGGATTACAAGGTTCGTACTGCAGAAGATTGGTCCAGTTTTGCTTGTCGTTATTCGAATCAGGCCCAAATAAAAGTAGGAAAAGGGTTGGTGCCACTGAATAGCCACAAGAGTTGTGATTATTAGACACAAATCAAATTCCAATCTTTCATCATAATACACAATGAAATCCATCTTGATATATTTCAAATCTAAAATTTTATTTTACAACGCTATATGAATAAATTAAATAAAAATAAGAGTGAATAAACACCATGGTGTGCGAATAACCATAATTGTTTGCTTGACTAATGACCACTATTACGTGAATGAACACCAAGATGACGTGAATAAATATAAATTTACGTAATTAAATGTAAAAATGCGTGAATTACGTGAACAATCAGAATAAACGTTGAACTCTCTTAACCCTGCTAAAAAAATAAACCTAACTACAGCCCTCCTCAACCCAATCAAGGACAAAACACGACCAAATAATTATCACCGGTGGGACAAGTAAACGTGCTACTCCCATCATCATAAGCATAGCTATAAGCCTGAGGACACTGCGCCTTAAACAGCTTCGAATACCCCGTCGGCGGGCACTTCTCCGGCGTATTAAATTCCCCACTGCAGCAGTACTTTGGCTCCTTCAGCGCCAAGCACGCGCTCTTACACCCCACCACGCGCCCATCACCCGACGTCACCGACAGCTCGGGGAGGCACACCCCGTTCACGTCCCCCGCGCAGCGCGTGGCGTTGCAGCCGTGGTCCCCGCGCGGTTCGACCGAGACGGGCAGGTTGAACCCGTCGACCAGGCTGACGTCGTAGAAGTCGATTCCGTTGCCGCTGCCGTTGAGGGTGAGCTCGATGAGGGTTGCGGGTGGGATCCCGCCGGCGCCGTTGCATTCGATTTGGCCCGTGGCGCAGTCGCCGGTGAGGCAGGTGAATTTGGTGGTGGTGGAGTTGGTGGTGCAGCCGGTTCGGCCCCAGATTCGGCCGCTTGTCCAGTTGGGAGGGACTTGGAGGCTGGAGGTGTCGCCGGAAGGGAGCTCGAACCCGGTGGTGGAGAGCTGTGGGGAGCCGCCGCCGGTTAGGGTTGCTGGCCAGACCGTGTAGGCGCACTTGTTCGTGAGGAACACCGTCGTTGATTGAGCTCCTGCGCATCGGGGGGTCAAAAATATAATAAAATGTACATACTCCATAACATAAAAAGATAAATATATTATACCATCAAAGAATTTATACAGTTGAATTTGAACCATAAAAAAATACAAATTCAATTTGTACGATATGAAAATTTTTACACATCTGTATAGCTACAAATTGAATTTGTACGCATCATAACGTTAAAAGAATAAACTGAATTCGTATTATAACGTTAAAGATACAAATTTTGTTTGTACTATAAATAATATTTTTTCTTTGTCAAGAACCAGTTGATCCCAATAACTCGAGTTGTTGGGAGAAGGTTCTGCTGGATCTTATACCACACTCTTACACGCCCTCTCAAAGGCTCAAACGAAAGCCAACCCAGGGGCTTGAATTTGCACAGACCCACCATATATACCTTGTACTTTAATCAATTGTTAATATTGGGGGTCGTGGAGATTCGAACACATGACCACTTGGTCAAATCAGCTCTGATATCATGTCAAGAACCAGTTGATCCCAACAACTCGAGTTGTTGGGAGAAGGTTCTGCTGGATCTTATACCACACTCTTACATTCTTAAACGAAAAGATTGTGTATAAAGTATTGCCACGTTAAAATCCCAATTGGGAAAAGCTTATAAGAAGGAAAATTTACAGCTCCGCTAAGTAAAACTACAATAAAAGAAAGAACTGCCTGATGAATTGTAGGGTAGCACTAAGGTTTACCGGCGATGAATAGTGCGGCGAGGAAGAGAACAAGGAATGTACGGTGGACCATGGTTGCGACGATGAGGTTGGTAGCTAGGTTAGTGGTGTGACAAGGGAACGACGATTTGTATGTGTGTAGTTATAGTTGTAGATATATGGACCAGAAAAGGAAGGCTGGGGGATCCTTCTGAAAATAAACCTAATGTGAAGATTTCATTCCGAAACTAGAAATATTATGTTGTGTTAATTAATGATAAGTATAGTTTATGCTGAAATTTTTCCTATTCGGTCGGCTCTTTCTTGTGATAATTAACAAATTAATTGAGGATCTTCAACTAAAAAAGTCCGTTAACGGATGAACAAGTTGGGAAACACACATTAATGAACAGACATGGCTACTAGTACAAGGAACTAGTCCGGAATGGTAATGGATGGATTTTATTAGGTAATTTGATCTTATTGTCATGATTTATATAGTTATTAGGTTTGACTGAGATGCACCGAATTAATGGCATTCTTATTAATTTTGGGTTGGATATGATTTAAATTAATTTAGATTCGATTTAAATAGATCTATTTGAGTACAAATGAAAAGCATCGAAACTTTACTTTGATCTTCGGCATTCCTTTAAGTACTATACATTATGTGTCTAATTTTAACCATAAATAACAATATTCGATATTCAGACCCGATATATCCTAAAATAGATTGGGCTAGCTCGATTGGCGGTCTTAACTTTTTTCACATTTAAAATCCATCGTAATGAATTGTAAGATTCTTTTTTCGTGAAAAGGGAAATCTATCAAACACGGCAAACCTCGGCCCGATAAATACTCGACAAACCCATATAAACAAATTAAAGTAGTCGGCCGGGCACATAACCATGCCAATGGCACCAAAGGAATTTCTTGGAGGATTTGGAAGAACTTATATAGCTGTAGCGGGGCATGCACGTTGCGCTTCTCGGTTTGGCATCACCGCTCGATTAGGCGTCACCTCCCAGATAAGCGTCACTAATATATAAAAAACAGCTATTAGCGTCACTACGTGCGTCAGCTTTCTCGATTTGGCGTTGCTAGTAAAACCCCAACAATTACTATAATTTTCTTTAAAAAAAGAAGAAACTCGTTCACGGTGGGACTCGAACCCACAATCTCCCGCTCCGGAGGCGAGCGCCTTCTCCATTAGGCCACGCGAACTTATGTTGGCTACAAATTTTAGTAGCCATAATTCGAAAGCATTTTGGGTAAAAATATCCATTATCCATTTATTAAATTGCCTCTTCCTTTTTTTTCTTTTCTTTTTGGTAGAAATTGCCTCTTCTTTTGTTAGGGGCTACAACTCTTCATTATTTCTTAGTAAGTAGTTTATTAAATTCAAGTCACGGAAGTCAAATATCACGTCTTTTTTTTTCTTCGTTTCGCTAATTAATAGAACCGAGATCACTTGATGAAGTCGATTTAAGAAACGAAGAATGAATTTCGGCTTATATAATACTGATAAATATATGCACCACGCAACTATAAGAAATGATAAAATCCATACGTACAGGACCGTTTAATTCACACAAATGATACACAAAATCCGCAGATAGTAAGTCCAAAAAACTCGATAATTATTGTAAGAAAAATGGCACAAGGTCCAGCATGCAAAATAATTAACACAAATCCTCTCTTCATAATCCTCACAACCAGGCAAACGATGAAGCAACAAGCACTATGAAAAGCGTCACATGCAGCTCCATCCTCCCGCCACCGGATGTCCCAATCGTCGTCGGGACCGTGTTATCAGAACCACCGTCGTCTGAGGGCGTGTTTGGGGTCGACCCGCCGGCGGGTGTCCCGGGGTTGCCGTTGGATGAATCTGACGGTGGACTCCCTCCTCCCGACGCAGGCGAACCCGACGGTGCATTTCCTCCTAAAAAAAAATTGCAGATATTTCCGTTAACGTATACTCTCCTTTAAGATGGCAAATAGATTGGTGAAACGATTCGTGGATTTGAATTAAATGGACAGGTGGATTAGGTGCATTTTAGATATTATAAGTTGTAATAAAATATTTAGGTATTAAAATGTAATTTTTCAATGATATTTTTGGCACGCACCATTGCAGCGGCTGACGGGCGGGGTCTGGACCCTACAAGCGGAGGGGAGGCCGAGAGCGCGGGTCTGGTTGATGGTGATGCCGAGCGACGACCCGCCGCCGTTGACCAGCTGGCACAGGCACTGCGGCTGCGACGACACGACGCTGCCGAGCTGCGAGCAGCAGGAGCTCGACGGTCTGGAGGTGTTCCCCGAGATGTAGTTCAGGCAAGGAGATAGCCCGATCAAGGCGGTGGTGCAGCCCGACGATGACTGCGCTGTAATGCCGGCGGTGTACGTCAGTGCCACGGCGACCATGACTAGGCCAAATCGGAGCCCGGTTGAAGCCATTGTTGGTTGGACAGAGTTTGTTGGTATATAAGAGATTTTGATGTGTTTGAAGGTGTAGGATTTCGGTTTTTGTTGGGTGTTTTGGAGGGTGGAGGAGGGGATGTTTATATATATATATTTGGGTGTTTTGGGGGGGACGACTAGGAGGAGAGTCAATGGGTTGGTAATTTGATGGCCAGCTTTTGGGCTAGAAGTTTGTTAGTGGGAGTTCAACTACTTGGTTCGTGGAATTTGTGTGCTAATTTCTTGTGGAGATTAAAAATATTATTTAGGTGAGGCTATCTATTATTGTTTTCAAATTATTGATGGTATAGGTACAAATGATATAGGTTCTCATAACAATCCTCCCCTCAAACCAAGGATCACGGACATCGTGTCCTCACCTCAGGGATTATCTTGATCTGTAAGACACCTTGTATCGATGGGCTTCTCGGTACAAGGGCTTTCCCAGACAGTAGAACTCTCTTTGATCTGCTTCACAAATGCGGAACTCTCTTTGATCCGCCAAGCCCAAACGGGGATCTCTCATAGATCCGCCAAATCAGATGTAGCCCAAACGTGGATATCTCTCCTGGATCCACCAAACCAGACGCGAATCACCTTCGACCCGTCAGACAAACGCATATCTCAAACCCCGAGGTCACCGAATGAGGGTCCCACCAAACTGACGTCCACCGCACCGAACCAAACCAGACTCTGATACCAATTGTCACAAATCGGGTTGCTCCATTAGTACGATATTGTCCGCTTTGGGCCAAGCTAGCACGGATTTACTTTTGGGTGTCCTCTCCAAAAGACCTCGTACTAAAGAACTTGGTGGACACTTATATACAAGGGTTCCATCCCTTGTACAACCGATGTGGTACTTGGATTGTTCCATAACAAATTGAATTTGGATCGTAATGTCAAAGTTACAAGTTTCGTATGTACAATAATTGAATTTGTACGAAAATGTATAGGTATACAAATTGAATTTGGATCATATATAATGTTCAAGTTACAAGTTCAGTTTGTACAATAAATGAGTTTGTACGAGAAGGTATAGGTACAAACTGAATTATACCATAACAGTTAAGGTACAAGTTCAGTTTATACAATAGATGAATTTGTATAAAAAGGTATAGTACAAACTGAATTTGTACCATAACGTTAAAAGTATAAGTTCAGTTTATACGAAAAAAATTACAGGTAATGGATGACATAACATTAACTGCAATCTGCAAATAGAATTTATATCATAATCAGTGGCGGAGGGAGAGTATAATAGGGTGGGTCCCGGGACCCACCCTGACTCGGAAGGAAAATTGGTCAATTAGGTACAATAGTTAATTTATATCGAAAATTAGGGCGTATTTAATTGAGAATAGTTGATTGAAAGATTTTGTATTCGAATATTGACGACCTCATTTGTTAAGTACACAATATACATATTTGTGCAAACTTCATTTTTAATAAGTTGACTTTCTTATATGAGGGAGCATGATAGTAAATAGTATAAGATATATTATTGAACCTCTTCCAACAACTCAATTTATTGATTTAAAAAGATTCTTGACAAATACATTAGTTGTAAGCGAATGACTAACTAAATCATGAATTATTGTTTGGTGTAAGCTTTATTATTAAATATCTTTTGACAACTCGAGTTATAGATACTAATGGTTTTTGACAAAGAACACCATACAAAATAGAACGACTAACTAAATCATTAATAATTGTTTGGTATATAGAGTTCTTGATATTTTCGACTGCTAATCTATTTTAATTAACCAAAATTTTCCAATATAAGATTATGTCATGAATGATTCGCAAAGTTAACAAAAATTATTTTACCAGGTGTATTTTTCTTCTAATTAGTGGACCCACCTTAGATGAAATCCTGGCTACGCCACTGATCATAATAGTTTTTTTTTTCATTTCCTATGCTATAAGATTATAAAATTCCACTAATTGCGTTATAACGGCCTGTCTTTGTTGACTGCATATATAACATGGGTTGTCCTTGTTTTGCAGGCTTCATACGAAGTTTATGACCATTGTTGGGTGACCTACTCTTTTTTCCCTGTAAGTCGGTGACTTAGCTTACTTGTTTTATCGACGATGAGTGGACAAGTGTCTATTAAGTGGAAATTTAACCGTTGGTAGCATATATTGTGACATCTTAATTTTAAGGCACGATATAGTTTAGCTTTGGTGACGTCAAACGCAAACAATAAGCTCAAGACGCTTTATTAATTCGACGCTTATATGATTAGGACCAGACGTTTTCCTTCTACCTAATTAGGACCATGCTAGATACGTAGTGGAGAAATGGACAAAAACTATCATCAACTTTGGGGCGACTCTTCTCTTCTTTGTCACTTCTTTCACATAATCCACATTTGTACTCAGCGATGAACTGGATCCCTAGATACCTTCTTATTGTCATTAGTACTCGATCCTTGATTCATCCATTTCCTTTCTACCCTAAAAACAAAGAACAAAACCCAGAATTCATTGCTGTACAATACAATAGCATATATTTACATGTACATAAATTAATCAAATCCATCCCCTAGTCAAGAAGTGGAATTACACATGAAAACAACCACTACTCGTTGATTAGAATCATCTTCGAGCATTTTATATAAAGAAGGGAGAGTTTTCCCAACCAGAAATAATAACCAAAGCTAAATTAAACTACTGTCACGATGATATTAGCGACGACCATCACCGCGTCGCTATTGCTCCTGTTCTCGTCGCTAATACTGCGTTCCCATTGGTCCAGCGCAGAACTCGACCGTGACGGTGGTTCATCCCGCCACGCGCTCGGGCGGTATTACTACCAGACGATGAGACATCACGGGCGACGAGGTGGGAGGCACCGGCCGGCGTTCCGGGCCGGCCCGTGGAAGAAAGCCCACGCCACTTTCTACGAGGGCAACACCCGAACCTACGGCGGCGCGTGCGATTACACGGACGTGGTGGGGGAAGGATACGGCATGAACACGGCGGCGCTCAGCAACGCTCTTTTTAAGGACGGCAGGGTCTGCGGCGCGTGCTTCCAGATCGAGTGCGTCGACGACCCGCAGTGGTGCAAACCGGGCCAGCCGCCTCTGTTGGTCACGGCTACGGATCTCTGCCCGCCCAACCCGTTCCAGCCCAGCGACAACGGCGGGTGGTGCAACCCGCCCCGGGAGCATTTCGACATCGCCATGCCCGTCTTTGACCACCTCGCCGAGTTCAAGGCCGGAATCATCCCCGTCCAATATCGCCGGTAACTTTTTTGTTATTAGGCAGCTGATAATGATTTTGTAGGGCTGACTCACACTAATCCTCTTTTACCCGGTTTTTTTTTCCTTCATGAAACTATCTGTAACATCCCGAACATTTTCCGAACGAAAATATTGTACGCTTTAAGTCTCGACCCTCACGTTTGTTATACAATCTATCAACGTCTATGTTTTCTTCTTGACTCTATATGACTATTTGGGTCCGAGTCGGATCGAGCAGAGTCCGTAGTTCTGTTCAAATCAATCAGCACATTGATTTTTTGACAATTATAATTTGATACTCAAATTTAGAGGAATTTTACTGCTAGTTGTTGCTTACGGATTATAGGGCCAAATGTGACCTGACCCTAAGTTGATCCGATCCTATTTCTACCTAACCATTTCAAGGTAAAAAAAAAAAAGATCTAACTCTAAATTGATCATGTAGACAAACTGATCCAACCTGTCCCACAAGATCTGACCGAGCCGGTTCGGTGGATATCAAGTGCTAAGCTGACAGCCCTATTAATGGACTTTACTAGAGAGAAAAAACGTCATTTATGGGCCATGATTTTTATGTTTGTTGAGCTTCATGTTGGTCTGATTTGGGCCGGCCTGTCTGCAGGGTGCCATGCAGGAAGCGAGGTGGGATCCGGTTCACGATGAACGGCAACCAGTGGTTCTACGAGGTCATCGTGTCCAACGTGGGAGGAGCCGGCGACATCGTCGGCGTTCAGGTGAAGGTCGACAAGAGCAGGCTCCGGTGGACGTCGCTGGACCACGACTGGGGCGCCACGTGGAAGACCGGCTTCCCTCTGCAAGGGAAGACGCTGAGCTTCCGGGTGAAATCGAGCGACGGAAGGTACATGACTTCTATGCACGTCGTCCCTAGCAACTGGCAGTTCGGCCAGACTTTCGAGGGCCGGAACTTCAAGTCCGGGGGAAGAAGAAGAAGGAACTTCAAGTCCGGAGGAAGGAGAAGGAAGGGTGTTGGCCAACTTTAGGTGCAGAATACCATTGAAGGATGGTGAGATTGGCAAAAGGATTACTAAGACTTTGATGAGTTAGACGGACCAAATTGAACCGTAGATCGGCAAAATTTTCAGCGTGTTACTCGCTGTTGTATATGTAATGTTACATTCGTGATTGGCCAAGTAATTACAAGCAAACGAAAATGGAACAAAAGAACTAAAGTATCCGGGTTTGGGTTAAGCTTCACACAACAATGTTGAAAAGACCTCCACTGAGTTCGCAACTTGCAGACCTGGTACCAGAGTGTCGATTGAGTAACGCGGTTCGTGCATGTGTTTTTGTCGAGCCAAACATCAATCGATCAAGCTGTTTAGGAAGGGTAACTTGGTTTGTTAGCAGCTGCAGGTGCCACCCTTGACTAGGAAGGTATAGCGATACCACGGTTTTGGAACTTGGGGCACTTTGGAATCTCTCTATTTCTTCTGTTTCTTCTTTTTTCGTTTCTCTTCTTTCGTATCTGCTCTGGCTTCCAGACGTTTTGATTGCTGAGAACGGATTTCCTGAAGCTTTGCCTTGGCAACTTGGAAGAGTGCATCTGATCTTGAGGCCATTAGTTGCTGGTGAAAGAGAATCAGCAAGGGGCAACAATGTTAGGAGACCAAGCATTGTGAGGACTGAGAAGAGAATATGGTTTGGTTCATTAAATGAGAGACAGTGAAGTGGGAAGATTCCGCAGCATTCCTCACCTTCAGATGGTCCATTGCTGCCAGATTGAAACCAAGAGTATCCTTGCATTCCTGGTGAAAGATCAATTGTAATCAGGGTAAATGTAGACTCGGGAACATGGGACACAGAGCCAGAGACCGGAACTAAAATGTAAAGGAGGCGAAGATCATAGATCAACGTTTAAACAATATGGGTTACCTTGACTCTTGAATGGAGTTCATCCTTGAGAGCAGTCAAAACGGGCCTAGAAGCAGGAGTGCTGACTAACTGGTGATAGTTAATCTGCAACAACACTGTAGCAACTCGGCAGACAAGCTCAACCTGATATATCATGGTAAAGGTACCCAATCATTATGGGAACGTTTCATTTTACATGAAATGAGAAGAATTCAATATTACAGAGCAACCGGTGATCTTTGCCTACCAACCTTGTCAGGGATCGATGCCCAGTCTTTCAGGTAGGACAAGAGCTTCAAAACATCTGAGAATGGTAAAGCCTGCAAGAAAAACAGAATCATCAACTCGGGAAGTTAAAAGACCTTAATCCAGTAATCTAGGAGGCCGAAAAAGGGGGAAAGCGGGAATTTGATACCAGAAGTGTCTGCTCCAAATCATTTGCCTGAACTTTTGAGAGTGCATCAAGAACATAATCAGAAGGCGACAGCCCGTTCATGGTAGGGTTTGGCTGGAAGCGAGTTACTTGTCCCGTACTCCTCTCCTCCTGAAAATTCATAGATGCATATACCAACCTTGAAGAATTTCTAGTTGCATGATCACAATCTGAAGGACAATTTGACTTTCTAATAACCAATGATTACTTCAAACTCAAAAGAAAGTTAACAAAATTAACACATACTTCATGTTCAGTGATACGCTTCAACTCCATTTCTGCTACATCTAGGGCATCAACAATCAAGTCGGTGGCTGTTAGAGTTTCTTGAGTTTTCTTCCCAGCCAAGGCAACAGCTCCCTCTTCTGGGATCTCTTCTTTTGGTGCAAATCTGTTTTCAAATGGATTCTCCGGATCAGCTTCAAACATTTCTTCCAACCTCTTCTCCTTTTCTTCCTGCAATATACAAGAACACAGTCATCAGGACTACCTAGAACAAGTTACAGAAATAGACGATCCGCCAAAGCAAGAAAGGAAATGATTACCTCGATGAAGAATGGCTCTTCAGTGCGATCCCACCGACGTATAGATCGGTCATGAGACCCCGTGACAACAAAGTCACCACGGCTACCAATTGCAAGACACCAAATATCAGCATGATGGCCCTCCAGAGTTAAGAGCAGCTCAAACTTGTCCGCATCCCAGTACTTTACAAGTCGATCTTTTCCAGCACTGAACATATAGTGGGTATTTCGTACGAATTGCACTGCCATAACACTAACCAACAAATAGTTTCATTAGAACACTGCCAGCTCACAAGAGAATACCATTAAACGTATCTTATAGATTGTAAAGAGAAGACCACCTATCAGCATGAGCAAAGAGAGATTTGTGACAGTCGCCAAAGTCCAAACCCCAAATCTTCAAGTTCTTGTCAGCTGAGCCAGTGACAATTAAGTCTCCATCTGATGAGATATCCATGCACATTACGGGCAGCTTGTGACCATATAGTGTGAGAAAAAGTTTAAGCGAATCCATGAAGAAAACCTGAAAAGTGGGAAGAAACAACTCGGTCGATTCAGAAAAACTAATTGCTGGCAGCAGAGACCACTTAAGAGGATCTTAAATGAACAATGGGACAACAAGCCGATGAAAGCAACAGTATAATAAATTAAATTCAAACTGTACACGAATTATACCAACCTTCACTGTGCAATCCAACAGAGCAACTGCAATGTATTTAGCATCAGGGCTAATTGCAACCACTAGAACATCATCGTTCATCTTCAAAGACCTTACATTTGATACTGTGAGCTGCTTAGAATCCTGTTAGCCAAAAAAAAGATTCAGCTCCAGCAAACATCAGTCCCCCAGGAATCTTACTTTGAAATACACATTAGACATAGAGTACATTGGAAAAGTAGGGAGGAAGGTATCGTCCTCCCAAATGAACATTGGTTCTACAGAAAGTGCATAGTCACCCATCGATAGCACATTATATGTCAAACACAAGACAGTGAGGAACACAATCTGTAGGATGACGCAAATATTAATAGAAGATATGGGAGACCACACCTGACCAGGTTTCTGTTTGATTTGATACTCCCAGAACTTAACATCATGATCTGCACTGCCTGTGACAAACCCATTTTCATCTGGAATCGCAGTAATAGACCGAATGGCACCACCGTGAGCTTCCACTTCCTCAATTCTAGTGGAACTTCCGATATCAATGATTTCAACAGTTCCACCTTTCGTCCCGACAAGTGCATACCTATTATGTGGAACAAATAATCCACAAAGTCCATATCCAGAGTCAATAGTTCGAAGACAAGAACCGGTGCTTGGATTCCAAATCTTCACTGCATTGTGACTAGTGGACAGCAAAAGACTGTTGTCTGAACTGAGTGTAAGACTCCTGACATCAGACCGATGCCCATGGAGTTCAATAGCTAGATTCTTTTTGTTTGCATCGTTTTCAATGGAATAAAACTCCAATAAGTTATTATTCAATGACAATGCCAATGTAGCCAATGAGTTCTTTGGTGTAACTGGGCTGAACGAAATGGAGCACACTTTTTTGCCTGCTCGAATGGTTTGCAGAAGCTTAAAGATATCAGTTACAATAATCAGAGTACCGCTCCCTTCTTCTTCTGTAGCAGGCTCTTTAGCATTTTCAGTAACCTCGACGGCTCCTTTTGAAGACTTCTTCTCTTTCTTCCTATGAAGCCGGCGTTTAGCCTTGCGCTTTGCTTCAACCTCATCAAGGACATTGAATATCTCCACTATCTTCCCAGCTGACTGGCAAGCAAGCAAATTACCCGACAAATTGAACCTCACAGTTCCTACCCTATCTTTTGTTTGCCTCTGGATCTCACCAAGAAATTTCACAACTTCCCATTTGTTGGCATCCCCATTTTCATTGCCCGCATCCTTTTTGCCATCTGCATCGTCCTTTATTGTATAAAACCGAAGTTCAGGGTCTGCAGAACCACTAACCAAGTATCTTTCTTCGGGATCGACGTCAATCGACCAAACCTCACGGTGATGCCCACTGATAATTTGCATGCAATGCTGTGTTTCCATATCCCACACTCTCAGAAACTTGTCCTTGGATGAAGTCACCAGTTTCTTCCCAGACTCCAAAAAAACAAGATCAGTAATCTGCAATGCAGAGAAACAAACAGAATTAGGTGTTAAATTCCAGAAATACAACGAGCAGACCCCAACCACGAGTTGACCCGCATAAAGATTAATTGACCTGGTCACGATGTCCTCGAAGGCGAAAGAGGCCAGTCTCCCCAACCACATCCCACAATATAACATCATTATCTTTACTTCCAGATGCAAGCTGAGCACCAGTTTTGTTGAATCGTAGAGCAGTAACCGCACCTTTGTGGCCATTCAATGTAGTCTCGCAGGTTCCCTTGTCACTATCCCAAATCCTAATACTGCCGTCGGCATAACCACTTGCTACCTGCATTTTCAAAAATCAGAAATTAGTTCTTCTCTTCAGCATGACTCCCCATTCTGGAAGCTACAAACCTAAATAGAGAACGGCTCGAAGTTCTGAAACCTACAAACCATCCTAATTCATTCAGCTAACCAACCCTTACTGGAACTGAACGCAAAATGGAGAAGACTTCCAGCAATTCCATTAATTACCAGAGGCGAAGACAAGGAAGAGGCTATGGAAGTGACGGCGAGAGAAGGCCCGCTATGAGAAGCCGTCGAAGGCTCTAGCGTCCTAGTGCAGATGCCTTGCCGGACATGCCAAACTCCGACCTTCTCGAGCGCCGGAGCTAGCAGGTGCTTTCCGGAGCTGTCGAAGGCTATGTTCGATTCGACTGAGGCTATCACACCAAATGAAGCCCGAGGCTCGTACCTCAGGTACGATTTCACCATGGCCAACGCCGCTTAGTTTTTGCTTCCTGCTTCTCTGCTATGGTCGCGGCAGCTATGGCGGCTGAGGTTTTCTAAAGGGTTTAACAAAGGCGCCTCTCTCTCCTCCGTCGTCCTCCTGCTGCGCGGTGCTTTGGTTTTGTTTTCTTTTTTTTTTATATGTCATCGAAATTTTGTGTGTTTTGTAAAATTCCTCAGCGTTTTGGGCCGAGGCCCAAGTTTAGTAGTAAATCATTTTTCTTTATCGGGTTAATTCTTCTGTCGGCCTGTGAATGGATTGGTTTCTTCTGATAGCGGGATTCAAGCCCGACCGTGAATCGGATCGGCCCAATCACTTCCTGTCTCAAACTTTAGTCAACAGACTCAACACTCAATAGTCAATACTAGCCAACTATGATTTGTGCTTTGTGAGGAGGGGTTATTCCCTGCTGTTGAAGATGAATATCTTAGAAATACAGCAACAAGAAGTTACTATCATCAAATTTGTGATCGTGTGTCCCTACGTAATCAACCAACCTTCGTTTTCCTCTCTATAGACATGGGAAATAATAACTCAGACGTTCTGCGAGTGAGCTGAAATTATTGAAAAAATGATGTATGTTAGTAGTCATCCAGTTCGTATTCTGAAGCAGTTGAACCATAATATCATGAATAGATTAAATATAGCAAGAGCTTCCCTCCCGTGAGGTATGCATTACAATAGGTCAATTGGGCTCGGTTTCTAACATGGAAAAATAATTATAATTCGTTAACTATTTTTTACATCAATAAACACATGGCAGAGCCACGTTATGTCCAGGGATACTCACACTCTCAAAATCATGTAAAATTACAAGTAAATTTTGCTATAAATTTGAAAATTAGATGTGGTAAGCCTTTAGCGCCCATCGCCTGTTTCAATTCTCTTAACGTAAATTGCATTACCCTTACTTAGATTTCTGACTCCGCCACTAAATAAACAGGTCAAGACTCTTGATGATAATAATACTATATATGTTCTGAAGGATGAAATAATGTAGATGGGAGCTGTAAAGTAGCCTGTAACTATAATTGCTACAGCGTTTTGTACAAGTCGTGCCCTACATTGGATTCTATATACTGGTCCATTTATCACTTCTGATACATATCAAAATCAAAGTGTACGTGTTTGACCAGATACACTTGCCGACTTGCCGTTTGTAGTGTACGTACGTGTTGATGCTGTATTTTGTGTGTATTAGGTCTAAGTTCAGGCTATATATATTGTTTAATTAGAGAGAGTCGTTATCTTCAATTACGTTAGTAATTTTTTTTTCTCTCAAAGATATCTATCAAGAAGACAACTGATAAATACAATTCAAAACTCTTTTATAAGACCATTATTGAAATCGAGAGATAGACTGCTCTAAAATGGACACAATTAAAGGCTTTTACGAGCTACTCTGTGTTGAGAGGAATACTATGAGGTATTCAAATGGGGGACATCAGGATTCGAACAAAAAGATCTATTGATCACGGACAGCTCGAAAATCAAGTGAAGAACCATTCAATTTCAATGATACGAATTGTTGGAAAGGTTCAATAATAAATCTCTTACCATAATCCTTTCCCACATGAAGTTTTGACCCAACATTTTCCCTTATCATGTAGAACAAGAAGAGACCCACAACCAAAGTATCTGCCACTTCTTCACCAAATGCTCTCTGCTCGTTGGACATCACAACAAGATCACCCATTACTGAAGAATGGAGCCGTTATGTTTGAACAGTTCGGGAGCTTTCCTAACTCCTTGTCAGACTCAGCGAGGCCCAAGACAAGACACCACATAATACATTAAATTCGATCACTGCAGCACGGCATGTGACGATGATGATACAAATGTAGTAAGCGCTGGCCATACTGAAAAACAATGGTGGGTCGACTGTCGCCATTCATTTGTTTCCATATCATCATCATCATCATCATCTCTACTCTCTAGGCTTCATCTAGTAATTCAGAGCCACAGCTTTATCTTCAACGCACAAAAAAAGGGTACTTCGAATGATGGTTGAAAACCCTAGAAAGAAACGTATGTGTTTGAGTGTGTGTGTCGGCCATCTTTCGGCAGATTATAATGTTCATGCGGTGGAGAGTACTGTTTGCCGACTCCATTTCAAGGAATTGGCCAAAGGGTTTTGACTTGTTGATGGTGCGACGAAGGAGCATTCTCATTTCTGATTCATTGCATGGTTTGGCTCTTACAGCAGTAAACTATACAAAGTTCTCATACAATCAATTTTTGTTCCTTTTTTCGTTAGAAGGAAATCCTTTGAAGCGAAATGTGTCTAAGGTGATACATTATCGAAAGAGATCTAAGGTGTTACATTGTAAATATATAAAAAAAAAAAAGACTTCTTATAGCTAGAGCCATCTTATAATATTCTTCCTTTATGATGCCATACATATTCTAGATTGTTAATATCTTCACTTTCCAAGAGGAAATTAGTGACAGACTGACAGCCACACATGAAATATAATCCATTATAGGAACTTGTCCTGTTTCTCCATACGAATCATATATCACAGCAGTCTGGTATAATAACTTCAGAACAGTTTGGTTTCACCTCAAAGCAGCCAACCGACGAAAGTACACAGCGGACTGACAAGCCTGTAAAACGATATGATATCAATACAAAATCGATTAAAAATGGGCATGTGTGCATATTATATTGCTGGTTCTTCGACCAGTTGGGAATTATTTAATATATTTTTGGCCAGCAGAAAAAATAAAAGATGCATGCATCTACAACTTACATAGGACAAAATCGGAAAATCGAAAATGCAATACAGTAAAGATTCGACATAATTATGTGTACAATTGTTAATATGATGTGTATTAGTTAATTTATGGGTATAGGAGAAACCATTGTCGATAAAACGATGACGGATACTCTAACTTCAAGTCGTAGCAATAGAAACCCTAGCTAACCTTCAATGAAAGTTTAAAGTCCTTTATGTCTTACGAATAATAATTTCGTTATAAAGGTGTGAGAGTTTATTGACAAATATATTAATTCTCCTTACTTATACTTATGTGTTCGGATTGATGCCATTTGTTGGGGGCAGGAGTAAGACATTGATGATTGTTGTTAGCCTTTGAATTCAAGAAAACTCATACGAAAGGAAACTCATACGAGAGGATAGGGATAGATCTGGTCTATCTTATACTTATGAATATTTGCATCAAGTCATGGGTACTTTCATATTGTGATTTTCAATTTCTTTTATTACCTAAAGGCGGGTATTTTCATATTGGTCGACCCACTCCAGAACTTAAATGTGTGTGTGCATGAGAGAGTTTGAAGAAAATGAGGTTGTCATAGAGCAACGACCGAGGTCTATTTATAGAGTTTATTATAACAAGGGAGTGTTTTTTGTTGCTAAGCTTGCCAGCAAACTTTATGTTTTATCGATCTACATCTTTTATAGCCCGTTATCGGCCTTTTATGGTACTGCTTTTAGGTTTTCTCTCCATCAAACCTATACATGTTCATTCCAAACAAGATAATTTCGGGTAGTTTCAATTGACATTGAAACGAGTAAAGAATTCGACTTGAACTAAGCATAAGTGAAACCGGGATTGGACAAGTCAACTAATCCAATCCTTATCGTCCCCAACCAGTTTGATGAACAATGAATGTAGTTAAACCCTCCTTCGAATGTCGGTCTCCAATTTGGCAGCTGCCTCTGTCTGGCTTGATGGAGATATCCGGCCGTCACGAAGTGGTGGACGATATTTGTGCACGGCGTGAGCTCATTTAGATATAGTACAGACGCCATAATTATTATTATTTTTTTGTCATTTTTTGCATTGATATGGACGCCGTTAATAATTAACCATATGATAATGGATCGATATAATTAAGAATTAACCTTAATTACTAAAACTTAAACAAACAAAAACCGGCGGTGGCCGAATGGTCGGTCGGCGTCACCAGAAAGTGATCGGGGAGTCACTTGGAAACATTGGGAGGGAGCATATTGAAGAGGACAGACCGACCACGCCATTATCTTATTCCGTTTATGGAAATTCTGGCAATATAATGCAGTAGTTTTTTTTTATTATTATATATGATTCAGTAGTTTTGTTTGGTTATATTTAAGGCTCATTGTTTTTTTAAAAATAATTGTTAATCACTAGTTGATTCCAGTAATTCGAGTTACTGGAAGAGATTCAATCATGAATAATATACCGTTTACTAACAATAATGACTTAGTTAAAGAGCTCCGTTACTATATTTATACTCATAAGTATCGGTGATTTCGTTTAAAAACAGTTATGGTACAAACTGGATTTGTACATTAACATTGTGGTGTAAATTCAATCTATATCTATACTCTTTTCGAACCAATTCCTTTGTGGGACAAACTGAATCTGTACCTTTAACGTTGTGATTCTAATTAAGTCTGTACCTATCATTTTCGTACAAATTTCTTTATGGTACAAACTGAATTTGTACCTTCAACATCATAATACAAATTTAAGTTGTACTTTTAACGTTATGGTACAGGTTGTTAAACCACCGGGCTAATGAGCAATTAATGGAACCTTGACTTATAATGAGCTGCTGCGCTCTTTCACTTTCTAGCCCAGACCTAACTAATTAGTAACTCATTATACATACGATTTACCGTAAAAAGGAACTTGTACTTGAGCTAAATACGCCACGGTTTCTCCAATATTCATTCCACGTCAAAGCCGGCCAAAGGCATCTACGTACCTAATCGAGTATGACTATGAAGTTTAAAAAGTTTTAAGACATGACATATATCAATAGAGGTTGGTAGGGGTGTGCAATGATCTGGTCCGTACCGGACCATACCGGACCAAACCGTTGTTAAAACCGGACCGGAACATACCGAGTATAATGCGGTCCGGTCCTTGGTCTTCATGAATTTTATAATTACTGAAGAAATGATGGACCGAACCGAACAGGACCAAATGGATCAAATGCAAGAATGGTCCGGTCCTTGGTCCTAACATGTCTTTCACTAATGAACCGCGGTTCTCATGAGTTTGGTCCGGTCTGGACCGAACCGAACCGTTGCACACCCCTAGAGGTTGGTGATAGTCAGTCATCAACTTCCAATAAATCGAGGTTTTAGAGCAATTTTTTAGAGGAAACGACGTACAATTTTGATAAAATATATTAGTGACCATTTTGGTGCTTTTAGTGTTCACTGACTCGGTTACAATAGGTGAACTTTTCTCTTCACCAAAAACAACAGAAAAGTGAACTTTTTCCTAGTACATAAAGTAGCACGTACCTGTATTTATTTTTCTCGGCAAATTAAGTTGGTCTACAAGATTTTTTTCTTACCAACGGTTTTTTAAGCACTTACTTACTTTTGTCAAAACTTTAAGGGATCGTTTGGAGAATATGAGTTTAAATCTACAGATTGTTAACAATTTAAAGATTCTAACTCTTCGGATTGTTGAAAACAGATTTTAAAAGGCTTAATTGCAAGTTTGGTCACTCGAATTGCTACAAAATTTCACGTTTGCCACTCAAATTAATTTATTCCATTTATAGTCACTTAAATTAGGTTAACAGTCCAAGTTTGGTCACTGGCCGTTAGTCTCCGTTAACTTTTGCTGATGTGGCGGTCAACTCTTATAGTTGACCGTTAAATTAGTGACGTGGCAATTAAAAAATTAATAAAATAATTTAAATTAAATATTTTTATTTTCCACCTAATTATTATAAATATTTAAATTAAATATTTTTATTTTCCACTCTACCGTTCCCAACAACTGGAGCTGGCGAAAGAACCCGGCAAACCCACCTTGCCCAAGCAGGTTGGCATCCGAGAACCCATCTGTAGCTCTCGCTAGCTCTTCATATGTAAACATGCTCTTCGAGAAGCCCAGCGATAGTCCAGGAGAAGGCGGCGGGAGTGGGGTTTCGGAGCCGGAGTAGTTGGACGCCCCGCTGCTGCTCAGGTAAGCCGGCTGCTGAGGTGGTTGCCTCGCCGGAGCTGGTGGCGGAGGTGGCGGTTTTCCCATTGATCCCACCACTCGATCCGGCGGCGGCGGAGCTACCTGCTGCCAATGCTGTTGCGGCTGGCCGCCGTATGGGTCAACTGCAACCATTAATCAGAAATCACCCATCAATTTTTAGAATCTCGTACGCCATTGGAGAAGAAGCAGATCTGAGTAATTTTGACCCGAGTCAAACCGATAAAATTCTCCAATTCCAGTTTCGAATCCAGAGGGGGCAAGAAGAAGAGTGGGGGAAAGAAATCGAACCTTTAGGGCCAGAAGAAGGCGGCGGCGGAGGAGCGTAGTAAGCGGCTTCATTGTCGCCTCTTCTCCTCCTCTTTCTACAAATACAGAACAAGCTCAGTATCAACAGAATCGCCACTCCTCCAATTGCAATCCCGACCACCGTCCCGGTCGATATCGATGACGAGTTGGAGGGAGGGGAGGAAGAGTTCGGCGGCGAACCGCCGGAAGAAGACGACGGCGGGGAGCGGGATGACGGAGGCGTGCGGCTCCCGGGGGTAGACGGCGTGATTGGGGTCGGCGTGGAAGGGGTGACCGGTGTGGGGGTCGACGGCGGAGTGGTGGAAGAAGGCGGCGAAGGATTGTTCGAAGGAGGCGATGGCGGGGAAGGCGAAGGAGTCGTCGGCGGAGAAGGGGAAGCAGGCGCCGGAGCTGTAGGAGTGGCGGGCGCCGCCGGGGGAGGGGTGGAAGGAGTGGCCGGCGGAGGAGCGGAAGGAGTGGCCGGCGGAGGAGCGGCGGCGGGAGGGGAAGGAGGTGGCGTGGAGGGAGTCGCCGGAGGAGGCGCGGAGGGTGTGGCGGGAGGCGGCGCGGTGGAGTTGGTGGAAAATAAAAATATTTAATTTAAATATTTAATTTAAATATTTATAATAATTAGGTGGAAAATAAAAATATTTAATTTAAATTATTTTATTAATTTTTTAATTGCCACGTCACTCATTTAACGGTCAACTATAAGAGTTGACCGCCACATCAGCAAAAGTTAACGGAGACTAACGGCCAGTGACCAAACTTGGACTGTTAACCTAATTTAAGTGACTATAATGGAATAAATTAATTTGAGTGGCAAACGTGAAATTTTGTAGCAATTCGAGTGACCAAACTTGCAATTAAGTCGATTTTAAAATGTTTATTGTTTGGTAACTGTGATTGTTAACATTCAATCAAAATAAACAATTTAGTTTTATACTAAATGACATGTTTATCCTTAAAAAAAATTAGAGTGGTTCGAGAAATATTAAAAACTTTGTTGATAAATATATTTCATGTGATAAATAAATAAAATGAAGAGAAAAACTAGGAAAAAAAAGTTCACGAATCAAGATATAGAATCTCTCTGATTATGAGAGATTTGATATCCGCAGATTTTAGAGATTTGAAATCTCTAAAGATAAAATCCACAATACAAAAAGTAACAAAAAAAACATAACTTTGTACAAAATCTACGAATTCAGTGAATCCATATCCCGAATCTTGTTCTCCAAACGAGCCCTAAATTCTATGAAGTGTGAAGTGTGAACGTATAAGCTCGTCAGATTTACTGGATCAGAAATCGTTCAAACAGGGACAGAGTTACGAGTAATCTAGGATAGGCTGTAGTAGGCTCTCAACATTTTATTTTGGTTTATAGATGTTGAGAAAATATAGTAACATACGTAAAATAAAAACAACAATCTGTTGGATCCATACACTCTAAATTTTGATTTCGTCATCACATTACTAACACATATTATTCATTAAAAAAAAATACTCAATATTTTTCTAACGTGTAAACCTAACTCACGCATGAACACACATATATATCACCAATATACTTCCACTAATGGGCCCTTATACATATACTAATCCCCATTTTCTTTCTTGGTTAGATGATCGATAAGTAGTTCTATCATTATCTTCATTAATTAGGTTTCTTAACTTAATGACGAATCATTATGAGCCACGATAGATTATGATGGAATAGGCCTTGGAACTATTAGTGGGTGAGGCTTTTGATTGATAAGTTACTTTCACCCCCCTTATCTTATAAACCCACCACCTTAATTATATAAATTTTGTTGGCTTCGAAAGATAGTGTCATAGTGGAGATATATAACCCGTAACCATTTCTTCTTTCTGCTGTCACAGTCGAGATCTAACCGGCCATGTTTCTTTTGAGTTTCATGTGTTGTTCCCTTTTGGAAGCGAAAAGGATGTTATAGCTTTCTATATCTTCGAGAGAGGGTGAAAAAGAGAAATCATGATGGAGTTGGAAGAATGAATTGGATTTTGGAGTGTGTACACGTTATATTATGCTATCCTGAAAAAGGGAAAGAGGCTGGTTTATATTCGAGAGGTGTTTGGGTTCAAATTTTGGTAATTGTTATTTCTGTTCGATCCTGTTGTGGCAATCGACAAGATTGTGTATCCGACTGAATTGATCCTATATGGAGTTATCGGGTATTGATAGGGTTTGAGATTTTAGTAATGTGGGAGGGGATGAGATTATATGCACGATGTTAGGTGGCAAGAGTATACATACATAGATCATGCTCGCATGCACTACTATATTATAATAAGAAGTTAGATTAGGGATTAATTGTTATTGATTATTCGGTGATGCATGATTAGTGGAAAACCTCATGTCTCATTTCTACTTGCCACCAAGCTTTGTTGGATACAAATTGAGAAGAGAAAGAGTATATTATACATTTGAATCAAGCTCTACGTGGCACATTATGCCATTAGCAACTGAATTTGTTTACTCATGTTTATGTTTAATGGATTAATTTAACCAAAATATTGCAAAATTTAACAACAAAAAAACAATGGATTAATTATTCGACGAAAAAGTAGTAGTGTTTATCGATAATCAAATAATTGTTGGATTGTTCTTCACCATATATATATGATAATTAGGATATAAGGTAGATAATATTTTCAATTCACTAAAATTCATAACCGAGTTGATCGTACTAGATTGAAATAAGAAGAAAAGTAGCATAAAATTCCAGGAAAAACCCCTCTTTCACAAGTATCTGTATTTGGTAATGTTTTCGTGAAGTGAACTTTATAATAGCAAAAACGACCAACCTAAATGAGATTGAGATGCATCGTTACGAACAATGATTGAACAAGAAAAACACATCACTAGCATTAAAATCTGGTTGTTTAGTATGCTAATTTCTTGGCTTGGACACGATCTATTCCATTATCGTTATTTTTGTTTCATTCCATGGAACTTTATGCTACCCTAAAGCTACAAATGTGCATAGTACATAGTACCCTATAAATATAATGAGTTCTTCCTTGCTTTTAATTTCTTTTACATAATATTGTACACTCGAATGGAAGGGCAAGTGGATATTATCTACAGTGAACTTCTAGATTCTTTTTGTTTGCTTGTTGACCTTATAAAGCAAAAAGTCTAGCTAGATTTTTCAAAGTTGTTTATTTATTTGGTCGTAATAGGTGGGGTAATGGGTACCACTTTATACGAAGGGTAACAGATTAATTATATATTAATGTTGTGTGTTAGTGTTATATACATAGTTTAATTGGGTGCTTATCCATATTGGGTTCATGAAGGAACAAAAATCAAATTGAATAAACCAAATGACAAAGGTTCAAAGGACTATTGCCTCTTGTTAATTTTTTGAGCCGGGCTACTGAAAAAGTACATTTCTAATTTATTATTTCCACAAAAAACATGCATTAATTTTTAAGATAGTTAATGTAAAAGTGAAATTGATGAATTTAAGATAATTATTGTAAGAAAGACTTATTATTTCTACCAAGTACCATTAAGATGAATTTTTGCTATGAAGATCTTTTATAGATCGTAAATTCAGAATCTACGAGTTTGAATATTAAGATAAACGATGAAATTTCTATAAAATTTTGATTGAAAATCAGACAATAATCCTCCAAACCAAACAAATCATAAATGTATACGTAAAATGGCCTCTCGATTTTTATTGGCTTACTTAATCATGTCATATATGATTTTATGCTTGTTTAAGGGGGAAGAAAAAAGTTGTAAACAAGTGAGCATAAACAAAAGCAAAACGTACGTACAAATCAATGGCTAATCATGCCCACCCCTAGTCTTAGTCCACATGTATAATTATCAATACTAGTCACGTCAACAAACCACTCTACATTAACAACTCTAGTTTAACCCATCTTCCCTCCTTATTCTTCTCTTTTAACTACCATAAATATTGTTTAATCACATCGCCAAACCACTAACCTTGTGTCACTACTCTCCACATAGTTATTTGTCATTTTCCCCCTTATTTCGCTTTCCAACTTATAAAATGATTAACAATTCCTGGTATTTTCCTCAACTTATAGTTCGAGGAGAACGAGATCAGGGAGAGACTGAGTCGGCTCCATCGGTTAAGACGAGTTGTACAACAACATTTCTCTCCAACTTTCGAGGCATTAGCGTTAATTTGGAAAGTCTCTGACGAACATATCTAGCGAATGAACCCATGGAGAGGAGGAAGAGATCAACACTTGATGGTGTATTTGACCATGTTGTACAACAACATTTCGAGGAGAACGAGTTGTACAACAACATTTCTCTCCAACTTTCGAGGCATTAGCGTTAATTTGGAAAGTCTCTGGCGAACATATCTAGCGAATGAACCCATGGAGAGGATGAAGAGATCAACACTTGATGGTGTATTTGACCATGTGCTATTTGATCTTTAAATTGTGTGGAGAATGAGTTGATCATGATGTTTGGAGGAAATGAGCATCTATATAATCGTGAGGTTGACATAACATAATCGAGTTAAGAAGGAGATTATGGTTTGTGCTCAAGTTTTCAAATGGATAATTGTCTCGACGATAAAATATGTGATAAACATTTATAAAGATCAAACTAGATAGCATCCCAACATAAATCCGTAAATTTTTTCTTGTCAAACTTATTTTGTAGCCCTTTCGGTTCTCATCGAATTGTTCAAAATTTTGAATTCATGAAAAATTTGTCTAAGTTTTGCAATGCGTCACATAAAATTAAAGTAATGGTGTAATACTTTTTTCTTTATCGATAGTAATGGTGTAATACTAGTACTAGATTGTGAAATGTTTAATACAATAAGGCCCTTAAATATTTTTTTTTTAGTGGGCTCCAAATGACACTACCAAAGCAAAAGCCAAAAAGGAGAGTCAAGAAGTCAAAACCCTCATGGTTTCCTAAACGGTGCGTCGCCTAGCGTTTTAGTGTTAATTTAACTCCAAGTTGAGAAAATTAATGATGTACAAAAGAGGTAAAGCTGTATAGTTTTGTGGAAAAAAGTGGGTTAGGCGGGAAGTCATTTCACGATATCCCAAAAAAATAATACAAGTTGGCTGTTTAATAAGAGATTAAAAGGGCGATATAATTGGAGGACCACAGTGAAAAATGCCCAAAATAATTACATGAACCAATAAGAAATAACAAATTCGGAACTTAAGATGAACAACCATGTTTATTTTATTATTTGGTAATAACAAAACAAGGCAACAACATTAAGATTATTTATCGTAAATATCGATCATCACATGTAAATAAATAAAATCGTGTAAAAGTTTATAAATATATGTGAAAATCAATTCTATATGATTTATTTGTTTGTTAAATATTTCTTAAACGTATTTCACTAAAATTCAGAACTTCATCCAATAACTTCATCGAATTCTAGCTTATATCGACAAATTTTATTGTATACATCCTACCAAAAATACGTTATTCAGTTAAAAATCAGGATTGTGTTAAATTTGCGTTTTGGTCACTGACAGTGGGGAAGCCAATTTGTAAAGGCGAGATAGGTTGGGGATTCGATCCGTAAATATATAAATTCATTTATTTATTTATCATCATCAGTCCCCATCGGATTTCGTTATTCATCTCCAAGGCCACATATAAAACATTACCCGCTGCCCAAATTTCGAAAAGAAAAGGGTGAAAAAGCCGGGCGAGCGACGGCAGCGGTAACGGCGGCGGATTTCTTGTAGCAGAGCAAAACAATTTTCAACGCGCTCAACAACACACCACGACTACGAACAACTCCGACGACGACCGCTACTAGCTTTCCGCCACTGTAGCTGACCGAGAACTTCTCTTCATCCTCTCTTTCCTCCGAAGGTATAATCTCTCTCTTTCACGCTCGCCGGCGGCCTCTCATCTGTACGGAAGGTAGCCGTCTCGGATTCCGATTCCGATTTCGAGAGACGGGCGAGGTTTTCTTTCTCTGCTTCGGCGTTTGTTTCGTAGAATGCTTTCTCTATGAGATCTGGAAGCGATGGCGGAAATGAGTGTTTGGTTACACGGAAAGGACGCTGTGATAACAGCTGCTATGCCGATTCAGTTCCGTTTACGTGTTATTTATTGGATTTTTACTTATTTTTGTTCATTGCCTTGTTGACTTGTTGTAGTTTCTCATCTCTTTTCCGTTTCGTTTGCTAGCTTGTTTTGGAGGTTTTGGATTCTGGAAATTGTTGCTTACGGTAACGTCAAATTGGTAATAGTGATCTCCTTCCTGTGTTCTGATTTCATCAGGATTTGTTTTTGTTTCAGAGCCATCTCTGCTCGTTAATGAGGTGCTCAATTTTTCTCATGGGAGATTTTGCTGTTACAGGATTTTTTTCCGGTTTGATCTTTTCCGAAGTTCCTGATAGGACTAGATTGCTTTCCTTTTTGGTCCGTCTTGGGTTTATCTGTTGACTTTATGAGTTCTTTACGCCATTGATTTCTGATGGTATACAATAGTGAATAGTTGATCATTAGTGGAGGGTGTAGATTGTGAAATATTTTTGGTCCTAAGAGTTCGATTGTTAGAAATGGAAGAATATACCGATAATGGTGGATTCTTCTGTGTTTCTTTACTGATTTTTGGTTTGATTCAAAGACGTTGGAGTTATGTTTTGTGGTTTCTTTACTTGTTTTCGTGTGGAGATCGCATTGTTCTGTGGAGCGTGCAACAGGGCTGGATTTGGTTGGTGTTTGATCATTAACTGCTGAAATTCCTCTGTTTTGTATTGACAGGTTGAAGGGAACGGTGGCGTTCAAGGGTTATGAGATCTGATTGTTGAGAGGAACTGGTTATCTTTCAGGCATTATGCATGTCTGATCCAGTGGCCACCGTGGTTGATGTGGCAAGAGGACTGAATTTGGCTGACAGAACAAAATCTATTGATGCAATATCCATCAGAGACTTCTCATCTCTATCTGTCAACGGGGAAGAACTCCACAGTTTCTCCGAGAGCGCCTCGTTCAGAATCGGTGAGCTGTTCCTCACCAATGGGGAATCGTATTTCGGTTCACTGCTGGGAAATGTACCGGAGGGTAAGGGCAAGTATGTATGGTCAGATGGCTGTATCTATGAAGGCGAATGGAGACGTGGGATAAGGAGTGGGGTTGGGAAAATCCAGTGGCCTTCCGGAGCAGCCTATGAAGGTGAATTCTCAGGTGGTTATATGCATGGTGCTGGTAGCTACATTGGTGCAAATAACATTACATACCGAGGGAGATGGCGGTTGAATGTCAAACATGGGTTGGGCTATCAAGTTTATCCTAATGGAGATGTCTTCGAAGGTTCTTGGCTACAAGGAACGCCAGAAGGACCTGGGAAGTACAGCTGGGCTAATGGAAATGTCTATATGGGGTTCATGAAAGGAGGGAAGATGACAGGGAAAGGGACTTTCACTTGGGTGAATGGGGATTCGTTTGAAGGAAGCTGGGTAAATGGTATGATGCATGGATTTGGAGTGTATACGTGGGATGATGGTGGTTGCTATGTTGGTACTTGGAGTCATGGTGTGAAGGATGGGAAAGGATCGTTTTACCCCAGTGGCAGTCGGTTTCCTTCAGTACAAGAACGATACCTCAATGCACTTAGGAAAAGAGGGCTGCTGCCTGATATGAGAAAGCAGAACCAAGCACATATACATCATGCTTCTTCAGTGGACATAGGGACTATGAAGGTTGGTAGAGATCAAAGGTCCCATCGTGATTCGTCTGGTAATTTATCCAAGGGAAGCTTGATGAGCTTGCAGCAGCAATCTCATAACAAAAATGTGTCGTTAGAAAGACGGTGGAGTCTCGAGGTATCGATTGAAAAGGTGATTGGACATGATTCATCTCTCGAGTCATCAGAATTTGATGGAGCTGGCCTCCCACCGATCCTCGAAAGAGAATATATGCAAGGTGTTCTGATTAGTGAGATTGTACTGAATGATAACTTTTCATCAATGTCCAGAAGGGCAAAGCGAAGGCAAAAGAAGATTGTTAGGGAGATCAAGCGGCCTGGTGAAACTATACTTAAAGGGCACCGTAGTTATGATTTGATGCTCAGTTTGCAGCTTGGTATCAGGTAGATGAAACAATAGTGTTTGTTCCACATTTTAGCTCTCTTCCCGTGTAGAATGAATGCTGAATTTGGTGAGGTGTTATCAGGTATACAGTAGGGAAGATTACGCCTGTACACAAACGAGAAGTCCGCGCATCGGATTTTGGTCCAAGGGCGAGTTTTTGGATGCAGTTCCCCAAGGATGGATCTCAGTTGACACCTCCACATCATTCAGAGGATTTCAAGTGGAAGGACTACTGCCCTATGGTTTTTAGGTGTGTTATATTAGCCTTGAATTTGATATCATAAGAATCTTTCTGCTGTTCCATTTATGTTTCTCGATATTGCATTGCTTTTCCAATGCTTAAACATACTGTTCTTGTATTGAATTGTAGGAATCTGAGGGAGATGTTCAAGATCGATGCTGCTGATTACATGATGTCTATATGTGGCAATGATGGTCTTAGGGAACTCTCTTCTCCGGGGAAAAGTGGGAGCATTTTCTTCTTGTCTCATGATGACCGCTTCATGATTAAGACACTCAGGAAGTCTGAAGTCAAGGTTTGTTTATTAATTCATGTGCTGCTTGTTAGTTCAGGAACCGTTTATTGGCTTCCAATGCATGCTGCTACAGACCTGAATGTTTTCGTCCTGAATGAATTATGATTCTGCAGGTGCTTCTGAAAATGCTTCCTGATTACCATCATCACGTGAGAACATATGAAAACACGCTCATAACAAAGTTCTTTGGGCTTCATAGGATCAAACCTTCAAGTGGTCAGAAGGTAAACTAACTGTTCATTCTGGCCTTGCAAATTGTGTCCTTGCAATCTTTAGTTTAGCAGTCTGACCTGGCTTTCTTTTTGCAATTGCAGTTTCGTTTCGTGGTTATGGGAAACATGTTTTGCACGGAATTGAGGATCCATCGGAGGTTTGATCTGAAAGGTTCCTCACTAGGGCGATCCACCGAGAAAATAGAAATCGATGAGAACACTACTCTCAAGGATTTGGATCTGAACTACAGCTTCTATTTGGAACCTACCTGGCGAGAATCTCTACTAAAGTAAGTACATCTATGGAATAATTACTTATGTCGTCCTACAAATAATCTGATTCAAGAATTACAAGATTTTCCGTGCTAATCCGAACAGGAAATGTAACTTCCATTTGCAGGCAGATAGAGACAGATAGCAAATTTTTGGAAGCACAGCACATCATGGATTATAGCCTTCTATTAGGTGTGCATTATAGAGCACCGCAGCACCTTCGACCCTTCACGTCACTACGGAAGAACGAAGGATTAGGAGTTTTGGACGAGGAAGGTAAGCATTTCACTTAAGGCTCCCATAACATAACCAATTTCTATATAAAATACACCACTCCAGTTTACAAGTTTGCTAGTTGACTATTTTGCATTGTCAGATACCATCGATGATGAAACATACCCACAAGGTCTAGTCCTCATCCCTCGAGGAGAAGACGATGGCAGCGTCGTTGTTGGTCCTCACATCAGAGGCAGCCGACTGAGAGCCTCGTCTGCAGGTGATGAGGAAGTTGACCTCCTCCTTCCTGGCACTGCAAGGTATTGTAGCAACAAAAACACACGAATTTTCATAGTCCATTGGCATTTTTGGGTTCTCTTGGTAGTAGATTATTAGTTGTTGCTGTTAACCCCGAAACTTCTTGCCACGCAGGCTTCAGATCCAGCTTGGGGTGAACTTGCCAGCGAGAGCGGAGCAGACTACAAAAGATGAAGCAGGGGAAAAGAAGTTCAATGGAACTTACGACGTTGTTCTTTACCTCGGCATAATCGACATTCTCCAGGAGTACAACATCAGTAAGAAGATTGAGCACGCCTACAAATCTTTCCAGTTCGATTCGTTGTCTATCTCAGCCGTGGATCCCACATTCTACTCCAGGCGCTTCCTGGAGTTCATACAAAAGGCATTTCCTCCAAATGCTGTCGCCCTCTAAGAAGCCATTCCATTCCCTCCATCTTCCTTCCTTTCTTTCCCAGAATTTTGTTTTTGGGTCGAACTGATTGGCTCATTAGCGACCACTACGAATCATAATCGTACAATGAGTCACAATTGTTTAGACTTGTACATTCCGAGCTTTGTACAAAATGACTGATCGAGCCCTATATATATATGCATAATTTTATCCAACACCTCACTCCTGCTGTTAGAAATAGAGGTGATCATTGACAATGATCAATGGCATAGATACAACAGCCTCTAGGTAAAAAGTTTAAACCGCAAATCGCAACATTCAGACATGATTGACTTAACAGCTTTGAGGTAAATTGTTTAACCATGAATTTACCAGCAACCAAAACATGGGGTTTGTTCTGAAAAGAACCAAAGCAGAACAAAACTCTGACACTTCGCTTAAGCTAAGCAGTACAAATGCTTTGTTATCCTATGATACAAAGTTAACCCATATTGGGTGGAGGTGGAGGAGGTGGATGGGCACCTTGCCCTGGGAAACCCTGAGGCATCGGAGGTCTGCCCATCTGAGAAACATGACTGAAGTTTGGCATACCACTGCCGCCTGGTGGTGGAGGAGGAGCTGGCGGAGCTTCCCCTGGAGGCATGGGTCTAGGACCGTTCCCCATAAGGGGCGGTGGTGGAGGCGGTCTTGCTCCATCGGCAGGAGGTGGGGGAGGTGGTAGACCCTGCGGTGGTGGCGGTGGGAGAGTCCTTGGAGGGACACCAGGTGCCGAAGTGCCATTGGCTGTTGGCGCCCCTGCAGCTGGAGGTTTGTTGGTCTCCGGTGGCTTCGTCTTAAAGTATAACTGTAACTGTAAATTGAAAACAGCATTGTTATATATCAAAGAACTGTATATACCTATCGCATAGGTCAAGATATACAACAACAACAACAACAACAACAACAAAAAAAACGGGTAAGAAGCTTACAGTGAACATCTTGGAGTCGGGATCCCAATGCGAGAAGAACTTGGGAGTTGACTTGTCTATCTCTGTGCTGGGGACCTTGAATGCAACGATCTCATATGGTTCTGCTGCGAACAGAAGATACTGGTAGCTCTTGTCATAGGATTGGACTTTCTGGAATATGAAGAAAGCATAACACAAGTCAGAATCTTCTAAAATCTGAAGTCCGGTTAATCAACTAAAATGACTAGTTGATAACTTTGTACCTGCTCATATGATGACATAAACCTGTGCCTTGGCTTTGTGTTGTCTTCAATTTCAGGATACTCAATCTAATAACATCCGAATGAACCATTGTTAGCACAATCTACAGTGCAGGATAAAAGTTGATGACATAATGTCATCTGGTTAGGACTAAGGATTGAGTGTGAATAAACAAAGTACCTGAAAAAGAAGAGATCTCTGCTTAGTCTCAGGATCATACTGCTTGGTCACACGGTACCCAGGTCTGCCGATTTTCACTGCAAAAGGGCACCAATAACATGAATCTGTCAACTACAACACCATATGCATTTAACACCGTAAATTCCACAAGAAGTTCAATTCCTACTAACTAAAAATGTATTCCCCCAACCAGCATCAATAACATTCCGCCGGTTATTCGAGTTTAATCATTGAAACCAAGTCTCAAGCTCAATTCTGCATTCTAACTTTCACTGCCTACCATTCTTCTGCCCACTACAGAAACCAGGTCGCCAATATCCATCCTTTCTGCTGCACTCTAATCAAAGCTAATCAACTGAATCCTGCTCCCAGTAGTAACCATTCCACACTAGCTATCAACAAACAAGCAACTCCACTGACTCAGAATCCAACAAATCCCTAATTCTCAAAACCCTAATTCAAATGAAGAATCAAGGGGAAAAGCATATAATTTTCATAAAGAAAGAAAGAAAAGCTTGCCTGTCTTGCGAATGTTAACTTTGCGCTTGTTAGGCTGGGGGAGCGCGGGAGCTTCCTTGGCCTCGCGAGCAGCTCTCTTCGCCAAATTGGTCTGGTGACGCTTCCCTTGTGTGTGAGCCAAGTAGTTCCCTTCATTGTTGTGCAAAGTCAGACACAGCTTACACTCATAGCTACAAAATCCCAACCGGATCAGCAAGAAAACAATCTCCAAACAAACCAAAATCTCCATTAATCAATCAAATCCAGTCACTCTTTCGTCGAGAAGAAGATGCGCGCGTTACCTGCCGAGGTGGTTGCGCATGAAATAGGGATCTTTGGCGAGATCGATGGTCTCGAGTGCGAGTCGCCGGAGACGCTCTCGCCGGTCGATGGCCTCGTTCTGGGAGGAGGCGGCGCCTCCGCTTCCGGGCTTCGAGCCCCATTCCCTGTCCATGGCTGCTTTTCTCTGTCGTCCCTTTGCTCGCACTCTCGAGTGAAAGAGGACGACGAAAGAATGAACGATAGAGAGCGATAACTGACGGTCTGATAAATGGCGGTAAAGAATGGACTACTCCGTCAAGGGCCCAAGCTTGAGCCCAGCCCAATATCTTTGGAAGAAAAAAAATCCGAACCCAATTAGGGCATCTAGCCCAGAAGGCCTGGGAGGAATCTATCTCTCTATAAAATATATAAAAGGGTTTTTCAAAGACCCCTCATCCACGTCAGCCTCTTTGGCATCTCCGCAACTTTCGGCTTTCTTTTTTTTTATTAGATTTTCTTTTCCCAAAACCGTTCACTTCCAAACGTTGTGTTCCTCTATTTTTTTTGGATCATGCCTTCCCATTAAATTGCATACTCCTTCACCGCATTTCTTCTTCTGCACCGCAACGGCAAAACCAGCAATCCATAATCTAGATATCCATTTTGAGTGCGCCTTCATATTCATGGTCCATCGAAATCAAAATTGATAGTTTCGTCTCCCTCCGAATAAGATTGTGGATTTCCCCTTATGCATCGCACTTCTCATTTCTCAACCTACTCAACCCTTTCACCTCTACAATCTCTTCATTCCTAATATTGGATGACATATTCCTATTCCGAAACTTCCTCCGACCATCTTCTGGTGCCGGCGGCGCCCCCAGAAATCCAGATCTGGAACAGGTAACTCGACATATACTCGAGGCAGATTTTGAATACGAGCCCAACCATCCATCTTGAAACTGGTGGCCATACCTTCAAAAGATTCCCTGGAGGAATCCACTCCTATTTTACGACGCACCAACCTCAAGACCCGACGAGTTCTGCATCGGAAAGTTCGACCAAATTCCTAGCTTTGGAGATGAGGCGAGAGATTGGCCCGACCCAATAAGAAGAAAGATAGAGAGCGATTAAGAAGGATTGAAGGAACGGGAAGATGGCGGCGGGAAGAGGTGGCATCGGATGAGATGTTGTCCATGCGGTGGTGATGATAGGGAAGAGGTAGAAGAATACACGCAAAACATTGGGGTTTTTTATGAATAGTTGGGGCTTTTTTCCTTTTTGTATAAATAGATTTTTTTCCAAATTAGTGATTAAAAAATATTTTTCTTAATTAAAATGAGTTGATGTTTGATTAGGTATAGATCTGCTAACTTTACGTAACTCTAACAGACCATGCTTATTATTATTTGTTTAAATCATCACTGTTTGGATGTGATTTTGAATTTTAATAAGTTTAAGGGTTAATATTTTCGTATGGCCTGAACTTTGACCAAAATAAACATTCTGGCCAATCTTTTCGATCTATAACATCCTGGCCCGAACTATACACCAAAGTAAACAATTTGGCCAAACCCGATGTTTGACCGTTAACTTGGACGGTCAAACGCGTTGACTAACGGTCAACTCGCCACATCACTGCCTCGTCACTGCCAAGTCAGAAGATCTGATAAATATTTTATTTTTTTCATTTTTTATTTTTGGTTTAACTAAAGTATTAGATGATTTTTTTAATTTATAATAATTTAAAATTAGGAAATGTGTGGAAATTGTGAATTATTTTAAATATTTTATGTTGACTTGGCAGTGACATAGCGCTTTGACTAACGGTCAACGCGTTTGACTGTCCAAGTTAACGGTCAAAAGTCGGATCTGGCCAAATTGTTTATTTTGGTGTATAGTTCGGGCCAGTATATTATAGATCAAAAAGATTGGTCAGGATGTTTATTTTGATCAAAGTTCAGGTCATACGAAAATATTAACCCTAAGTTTAACTATTAGATTTAGAATTTCTATAAAAATGATACAAATCTCATAAAATTGAAAAATGAAATTACCTGCCCAAAGGGCAGGGTCCAAGCTAGTGACTTTTAAGGGATTAAAGAATCTGCTTCATAATTTGTCAACTCCAAATAATTCAATCTAAAGAGTGTTGAATCAAATCAAAGGTGGGGGGGCTATGAAATTCAATAAAATTGTGGGACAGGATGAAGTCTAGATAAAAGGCATATAGCCGACAATAATAGTCATTTAATTATATTTCTACTGATAAGAAATTACAAGTTTCAATTATTATTATATCATTATTCATGATTTTGTTTAGTGAGCGGGTAGTGACCTATTTCTATATAGCGTAGGAATATACGAGATGGTACTTTGAGAACTCATTTGTTCCCCTATTCACTTTTTAATATGTATGTATGATGCTTACCAACTAATTTTCATATGATTAATTTGCGATATAAGAGACAAAGATGACAGTAGCAATATTATTAATGTGTATAATCTAATAGAAAGTAGTCCACATAATTATGAAATGCAGGTTATTGAACTTGCGTGCTTTTTGTTCTAGCCTGTCAAAATTAAATCTATAAAATGAATGAGATTCCTATTTCCTAATCCTAGCTAGTGGATCGAAGAAATGAAGGGGAGTAGGGTTGGGGGCTTAATCATTTGTGATTAACAAGGATTAATCAACATAAGTGCACTCGCTAATCACTGTGTCTGGCCTACTTTACAACATTCACATTCGTGTTTATGCAGTTAATCCTACTCCTTATGGTTCAATTCGTTTTGGGAAAATCGTATACAGAAAGTTGCTTCTTAAGTTGCAGCTTAAGGCAAACCTAAAAGTGCACCTTTGATGAAGTGGCGTCGTAAGAGTGGGCTGATCTCAACAGTTCGCCAACTTTGACCAAATTACCAGTCTACTGTGACAGCAGCTCATCACCTGCCGTTCTTTTACAGTTTTACTGTTATACGGGCCATTCAACGACTGTAAAACGTATAATATTTACAAGAGAACGAAGTTAATATAAAGATGATCAACCCACGATTCATTATAAGTCGTATTAATCCCGACTTAAAATGAATCTTATCTTGAGACATTTATAGCATTACTAAAGAGCATGTCACATGAACACAGAATCGTGATAAAATATTGAGTTCCCCCAGGAAACAGCATCGCGTGCACATTGCGAAACAACAACAGTTGTTAATGATGAGACGGGAAAATAATTAAAAAGCAAAGAAAACAGAACGGAACAGAATAGAACAGGAGGAGCTTGGTAAGGAAGGAGAAAGTAAAGAATAACGTTGGAAGGATGCTCTGCTCACTCAGGTGGGCTTCCCCCCTTTTCATTTCTTCTTCTCTCTCTCTATCAAGCTAGCCGTTTTCTTCATCTTTAGCTTCTCCTCCTCTCCTTCCCTAAAACAATCAAAAAGCAGAAAACTTTGATGCCAATACAACCTTCCCTCCTCCTCTCCCTCTCCTTTTCCAATATAGATACATTACCCACATTTCCCTTTCACTCTACCTTTACAGGAATAGGGAGAGAGAAAGAGGAGTCAGAGAAACCCTGAAGAGAAAAGGAAGGTCTTGACTCCCTCCTCTAATCATCATTTAGACAGACAGAGACATAGCAGCAGGGTTAGAGTTGTTGGGAGAAAAGATAAACAAAAGAAAGATTTTGAATTTGGAAGGAGAGAAAAAGTTTGGCTGATTGCTGTTGGAATTTTTGGGTTGGGAATGGGATCTTCATCAGGGCAAGGTTCAGGTGGTGGGTATGATCTATCGTTCAAGATCCTGTTGATTGGAGATTCTGGTGTGGGTAAAAGCAGCCTTCTTGTCAGCTTCATTTCCAGCTCCGTTGAGGATATTGCTCCCACCATTGGTAAAATACTAAGAGCACCCTTTTTGTTTTTGAGCTGATAGGTGAAATTGGGGATCTTCATTGGTGAATTGTTTCTTCCACTTAGGACTTGGGTTTTGTGTGTTTCTTTCCCCAATTTGCAGCAATGTCAATTTGTGTAACGTTATGCTGTTTGGTTTATCATCTGAAGGTGTGGACTTCAAGATCAAGCAATTAACTGTAGCTGGGAAGAGATTGAAGCTCACAATTTGGGATACTGGTATGACTGATTCCTAGGCAGTTACTATGTTTATTCCAATTCTCTTGGTTTTGGTTTTCTGCACTGCAATGCAATGCAATGCAACAGTTAGACTATGCAATTTGGACCACTGTACTTGTTCTTTTGTGGATTGGGAGAGTTATGCTGTGAAAAGGAGCTTTGAATGAGCTCAATTAATGATCTGTTCAACCCTTTCTCGCATTTTGGACCACTCCTCTTTCACATGCAACATTCTGACAAAGGAAATGGGGATTTGCAATTGTGATGTGTAATTGAAAGGACATTTTCGTTTTTATTTCAGCTGGGCAGGAGAGGTTCAGGACTCTAACCAGCTCTTACTACAGAAATGCCCAAGGAATCATTCTTGGTAAGCTATTTGACTGTATCAACTCTTTTCCTCATATGATTATGCTTGTTGCTTAGTCGAAAGGCCTACATGAATGGATGTGATTTGGTAGAGCAGAAATTATGCTTGTTGCTCAGTTGAAAAGCTATATGCATTACTGTGATTTGGCAGAGTATATGTTCACTTAGGAGTTTGCTATTCGTTAGTAAAATAGATAAGTTTCATATCAGTTTGTTGAAGGGACTCTTCAGAAATTAGCATATGTTGTGAAACAACTGAGGAATAAGATCATTGATGATATAGTTCAAGTTACAAAATGTAGACAGTCACTTCGTTTCTTTCCAATGCTGCTTAGTTAAGCTACAAATGTAAAGCTTAAACCTTTTTAAGTATCACCAGGCATAACCATAACTAGTAACAACGACACCAATTCCTCCATGAACTCCTTGCATAGCCCTCAAATAAAGTCGTACCTTACCTTCTGACTCCCCAGTTACTAGTATCCTTATCAGCTGTTGTTATGATTATTAGCAACTTCTGATAACCGTACTGCAGTTTACGACGTGACTCGGAGAGAGACATTCACAAACCTCTCAGATGTGTGGGCTAAAGAAGTCGAGCTTTACTGCTCAAATCAGGACTGTGTCAAGATGCTTGTTGGCAACAAAGTTGACAAAGTAAAGTTGCCAACTTTGGTTTTCATCTATGTAATGGTTTTGTACCAATTTACAAATCAATCCCATTCCTCATTTCCTTTATGCCTGATATGTTCAGGATTCTGAAAGGGCTGTGACCAGAGAAGAAGGCATGGAGCTTGCCAAAGAGCACGGATGCTTGTTCCTTGAATGCAGTGCTAAAACTAGGGAGAATGTCGAGCAATGCTTTGAGGAGCTCGCCCTGAAGGTAACTTAGATAATCGCATTTCTAAAGCCTCATAAATGCAGGAAGCTTGGTAATAAGGTCTGACGATGTCCTGGATTTTTTTGCAGATAATGGAGGTTCCTAGTCTGTTGGAGGTAGGATCTACAGCAGGAAAGAGGAACATTCTAAAGCAGAAATCGGATCAACAAAGTCCTCAAAGCGGCGGCTGTTGCTCTGGATGATGTGATTGGTGGATTTATGTATAATGGGTTTGTTGTTTGTTTGTTGTTGAATGTTTGATTCACTTTGACCCAAAATCCATCAAACTGATTAATGTATATGAGATCAGGCATTGTTTTCTTTATTTCTTTCTCTGTGATTTCAAGGGTGCCTTTTGGAGAGTTTCTGATTAGTTTGTACCATTGCCAGGAAAAAAAGGTAGGGTTAGAGAGTGCACTAAGAAGTAACATATACTAGATTGTGTACATTTGATTGGTGAGTTCCACTTTTTGGTCAATGCATTCCATTGATTCAGTTAATGCATGGCTGTCATGTTTCTTGCTTGTTTCTTCCCAGCTGAGGGGGCATGGAACTCCGTGAATCATGAGCTTCCTAGAACTTGCTACCAGCATGTTAAGTGGATGGTGGGCAACAATTCATTCCAATCTGATCACGAACCAATATCGAATCAAAACAGACGATTAAGTCGATCTAATCGTATTCAAATATCTTATCGATTCAACTCAACTGAGCATCGGTTTCCCGGCCACGGCCCCTCTTGAGAGAGGGTGGCTGATGAATGAGATTCTAATGAAGCTCATTCCACCGTAGTTGTTTGTATCCATCATTTACCCATTTTGTTCGTAAGAGCATGAAGAATAATGGTTGTGTATTATTAGGAACTTTCTCATACACTCATGGACTTCAAATACCAAATTGACATTCACAAACGTCCTTTTGCCTAGAAACTCCTAACAAACAACAAATGGAGAAAAATTATCTTCACCGTCAATCTAATCTTGAAAGCTAATCCTGGAATTCAAGGTTCTTGAGCATATAAACAAATAAAGAAGAGAACTCAATAAACACAACGGAGTACAGGTCGCAGCAAATGTGATTCCAGGTTAACTCCAGCTCGTTTATGATCATCCGCTTAGACAATGCTCAAACTGCAATGCACTCTCCTTCGGCTACCCCATACATCTTTCACAATGGAAGCTTGATTGCGAAAAAAGAAACTCACACTGCCAACTCAGCAGCTTCCAAGATTCTCCTAGCTTCTGTCTGTGGCTCAGCCAGCTCGCCCGGAGTCTGCCAATATTGATCAACCATTCGGAATAAGCAAACCCATCGACAAAGGAGACTTTCACGAATTCATTGGACAATATAAACAATGTGCAAACCTTTCCATATGAGTTTGTCTGAGTGACTGGAGCGCCGGCAGCCAGTAACAGGTTAACAATCTCCGTGTGTTCACCTCTAGCAGCATGATGGAGTGGCTGCAAAAGAGAAGAGGGTGCAAAGTGAGTTCAAACAGGCATTCTAGCCATGAACTTGGTGGAGGTAGTAGAATAAGCTATATTATTAGTTTGAGAGCCAACAGATGGTCTCTGAACAGTAGATTAAGAACAAATTGTACATATTCACATTATACGGTCACTCACAGTATCACCCTCGTCATCAACTGTTAATAGCATCCTCTTCACAGTCTCATCGTCACTTGCATGGTTTAACAAAAGCCGCACTATCTCAGTATAACCTGCAATTGTGTGATAAACGAGCAGCAAAAACAAGTAAGAACACCATCCATCCACTTCAAAGATAAAGAGTCTTCACATAGTAGTCGGTTTACCTCCGGCACAAGCATCGTGCAGAGGAATTGCACCGTCTTCGTCCTTAGCCTCTACATTGGCTCCCTTCTCCAAAAGCACCTAATTCAAGGAACGACAGATTCATCAAAATCTCATAGGCAACAAACAGCATTCGGAGATCAACAAAAGCTAGCTACGAACCCTGACGCAGCTCAAGTGGCCATACAGACAAACTAGATGGAGAGCTGTGTCCCCATCTTCCAATGGCTCATCAATGTTACCATCAAAATTCTCTGCACCAACAAGATTACAGCATCAATTAGACATTTTCACATTTGATTCCTCCATTGCATGGTTACATTCGGTCAAAATTCAGAGTGACCCCAATCAGCCCTAGGGTTTCAATTTTATCCACAATCAGGGACGGACGAACAACTACTCAGAAGAATCGAACAAAAACTCCACCAAGAACAAAAGAAAAACCAAAACTTTCGGCGAAGAATCCGTCAAACGAACCTAAGGCCTGTGTGAGAGCTTCGGCGTCGCCGGAGCGAGCCGCCGAGAGGATTGGCTGAAGAGGCTCGGACAAGTCGAGGTCAAAGTCGATGGTGTTCTCTTCCTGAAACAGGGCGTTGTCCTCTTCGCTGTCTTCCTCGTCGATTAAGTCCTCCCGGTGAACCGCCATGGCTGTGGACTGTGGTGGAGCTTCCGCGGCGTCGCTTATTCTCCTCTTCCGTCAAGCGGCGGTGGTAGCCGTAGGTAAGGAAAATTTACGGCGACCGTAGAGCTCTCTGGTGAACGGATTCCCGTAGGGTTGTTCTGCCGCCGCCTGCCGCGCTACTTATTTTGTTTTATTTTATTTTCAGTGCCAAAATCGCGAGAGTACACGTAATTCGATCACGTGCCCGCTGTCCATAAAGATGATGGACATCGGCTTGGGCCTTAAGCTGTGGTCGGTATAAAGTGGGCTTGGACTTTCGTCCAGCCGGTGGGCCAAACTAGTCCAGACTTTTCATCAGGCATATCCTACTTCGATGAATCTATGTCCCTTAACCACTGTGCGATAGTTGATTGTCTCGTATTACGGATTGATCGTCTCACGTCTAAATACGAGGTTAGAACGTTGAACTCTTTTCATGTAATAATCAACGGCTTTGAACCCATTCTCATGACGACCTCACCTGTTATAAACGCGCTGCTACGGAGCGGGAAATCGCCGGAATCGACAAAGCAAGAATACGAAAGCGAGAATCGAAAACACAGACACACGATTTACGTGGTTCACTAACACGATGTGTGTTAGCTACGTCCACAGGCGAGAGAGAGCCAGCTTCACTATATCAAGGAGATTACAGATTACAGAGGAGTATGAGAAGTATTTATAGTATTTCTCCATGTGGGTCTAAACCTAATCCAATCTGACAAAGGAAATTAACGGTTACAGACCAGGCCCAGAACAGCGAGATTACAGATTACAGGGGAGTATGAGAAGTATTTATAGTACTTCTCCATGTGGGTCTAAACCTAATCCAATCTGACAAAGGAAACGGTTGCAGACCAGGCCCAGAACAGCGAGACTCCCCCGATTACCAGTCGTAGCGGCTGATAATCCGATTCAAGTCACATCAACATCACCTTTTCTGTTGCTGGCTGTGGCAGATGGATGCTGCTTGTGACGTCGCCAGCTCGTCAATCATTCATTCCTGGCCATGAATGGTGGCGCTGTATCCTCTCTACGTGATGACATTAATAATTCATATACGTATAAATGTTCCTCTCATTAGTACAATATTCTATTATTCTCTGGACTCTATCAAAAGTTACACATCATCACATGTTGGAACTTTGGATTGGATCGCAGCTAGCCAGCCAGCCAGCCACCGTCAAGTAAAAAACTGTCACTCCTCTAAGAAGACACTCAATTCTAGCAGTTGGGCAAGCCAGCTAATTGACTTTCTGCACCATATTCTAGTAGTTTGTGTCACTTTCTTTTTCCTGGGTTTTCTTCGAAATGCATTGTATTGTTTGGGATCGGGACAAGTTTGGACCGTCCGTCCAGTTGATCTGCTGATATCAGGTGGAGTAAGGGATGGCATATCAAACCAACTCATCTTTGGTTTTTGGGAACTCACACCATCTCCAAGAAATCGAGATTTTTACGTTGAATGTCAATATGAATTGTAATTTCTGAATCGCGTTGTTTGCAAATCTGGGAGGAAATGAGCAAGATTTGAGGTCTAAAATATTATTATAATGTTTTAGGGACATGCATGACCGAAATATTAAAGTGAGTGAGTCTAGAACATATTTATAAATTGCAACACATGTTCGGATGGATTTGGTGCGGAATTTATACGCGATTCGTGTTAACTTTGTTGAACCGAAATATTCTAGTAGTAACTGCTTCTTTTTTTTTTTTTTTACTACCATTCTTATTTGGAATTGACAAACGTCAGAGGAGCAGAATGCCCAATGAAGAACATGCTAACAGAAAGAGAGGAATTTTTTTTTTTTGGGTTTATTTTCAACGGTCGAGCTGCTGGCTGTCGAGAGTTGTGATGGTAGCGGTGGTTTCTGGTCTGGCTCTGATCAGTTAGTCTTACTTGTTCGACACTCCATCTGCAACTTGCAAACGTTTCTTGCCCAGAACTGCGCTCCACCGCCGGGTTAACGTAAGAGTGACGGAGGAGGCGATGTTCTCCCGGATAATGTTCTTTTCCTTTCTGTTACCTCTAGCTAGCTAGCTATTCATTATTGTTGCCGAAACCATTATAACAGGAATTATCAATACACCGAAGTAAATGTTTAATATGTACGATTAAAATGTTACGTCCAATCTAAATTCTAACGGATCAGCGTGCTGGTATTGAAGTGTTGATCAATCCAGACATGTATGTTGAACTTAGCACTGAATTTTGTTGAAACAAACTCGTGATCTTGCTCGATCATGTTTACACCGGTAGTTTGCTAGCTACCATGTGTGATAAGCTCCACGTAACTTTAACTACTTGAACTTCGATTGGAAGTTTACATACACTCAAGTCACATTATATTGCCGATTAGGTCAATTGTTTAATTACTTGTATTCACTATGAATCGAAATTTATATCAGGACATTGAGGCTTTAGATTTGTGTGCACCTAAACACAAAGCCACTTACACAACAAATTTAGTTAAATTATTAGCAACCCAATTTCTAATTCATCAAAAGATGTAGTGTAATTACAAGAGAACATAGTGTACAAGAGAATATAATCAATAAGAATTTTCTGTTCTTCAATTTGGAAGAATTGATGATGATCATGATTATACATTACAATTAGCGAGAAAGATTAAACTAATTATCCATGCAAGTTAAAAGAATTTGATAATCACAAATTTTACACAAAGAATTGTCATTTTAATTAACTTGGTGAATCAATTCATCACCAAACTAATAAAAAATTAGAAGAGAAAATGAAAGTCATTTTTAAAATTCAGAAATGGCAATCCACCATAGGAGACGCCGCCGTGAACACGAGCTGCAATCCTTGCGCCGGGAACCGGAACTTATTATTCGTTTCCCGCCCGTCTACTCCGTCTTCCGGCGCCGGCAAATTGAGATCCAACTCCAATCCGTTTCTAGCAGCGGTCGTCGTCGTCAGCGCCGCCGCAGGCGGCACCGGCACCACCGTCCTGTGCCGCCTCATGTGTCCTCCCAACGCCTGTCCTGACGAAAACCCCGCGCCGCAGATCGCACACTCGTGAACCTTACTCGGCTTCGCCACCGCCGTTGTCGCCGGAGGATTATTATGATCGTCGTTGACCGCCGCCGTACTCACAATTCGCAACGAGAGGGCCAATTCCGCTCCGCCTTCTCCTTCCCGCAATTTCTGATCCACCGTTTTAACCAAGACCTTGCTGCTATTCTGATTATTATTGTTGTTGTTTTCTTCCGCGCCTCCACCGTCGCCGCCGGCCGTCCTCGGCCTCTTGTGACTGGCCCTGTGCCCGCCGAGCGCTTGGAACGAATTGAATCCCCTGCCGCACGTCTTGCACTCATAAACGAACACCCCTCGCTGCTCCACCGCCGCCTCCGGCTTCGGCGGAGGGCTGGAGCTGCGGCGGCCCCGAGCCAGCAGAATCAAGCAGTTCGCCATGTCCTCTTCCACCGTACAGGTGCTCTGCTCGGAAGAGGAAGTCGCCGTGGACGAGACGTCGGTCGTCACCGGCACCGTCGGCCGCGGCTGGAAAGGCAGGGGAGACGGCTGCCTCTGTCGCTTCGTCCGCTTACCTTTCACGACGACGTTCGAGCAGCCGCTGTCGTCGACGACCGCGACGATTTCTCGATCCTGTCCCGCTTCCATAACCATATCCACCATGAAACTTGAAAACAGAGAAAGAGAGGAGGAGGAACAGAGAATGTGTGTGAGAGAGAGAGAGAAAATGGTGTGTAGTTGTGTATTGTATTTGCGTGTTTGGGTAATGCTTGGAAGGTGTTCGACGAAATGCTTATATAAAAAAAAAAGGGGTGGAGAAAAGCAACAGAGTGGCGCTTGCTGCAGCTGTGGGTGGGCGGTAAGAGGGGGAGAAGGTGGTTTGGAGTGGAGGGAAGCGATAGTGAGATTCGGTTGGCTTTGAAGCAAACCCGAAAAAGGAAAAAAAGAAAAAAACTTATAATAGTTATTCCCCGTTGTGCAAGGCTGGAACCTCCCCACAAATTGCGGTTACTCCACTCTCTCCATACATGCATTGTACTTTGAGAGGTAAGCCATGGGTTACTCGATCGGATTAAAGCGCACACTTAACAGGAGGCCGTTATTTCGATATAAAAAAAAAATCGTTGTAAATGCGTCTCGGAAAAGTTCGATCTAATTTACTTGTATGAGTTTTTAAGCTCTTTTGGTTCAATTGTTATGTATAACGTGGTGTAATTCGTCGATGTAAATTTAGCTGCTAATTTTTTCGCACGGTGTATTTCACAACTGAATTAATTCTATTGTAAAAGATTGTGAGACAATGTTATGATGAGTTCCTGTCTTTTATTTTGTTTTGATAAATGTATATCACTATTATTTTTCCTATTTGTGTTGTGTGTGTGGTTACACAAGAAGTCTTTTGTGTTTGTGTAATGGTGCAATTTTCAATAATAAGTGCTTCTAGCGTTTTCATTTCTTTATTTCATGACACAAGTTGTATATTAATATATGTGGTACTTCACAAGTGAGATTCATCAGCTTGCTAGTTGGTAGAGAGCTCCAACAAAAGAGGGTGCCCATACCCCAAAAACAACTTGGTTTTTTCTTTGCTTTTTTTGTGAAATAATTCACTCATTACGTACTTTCACTAATATCAAATATCGTAAAAGATATACTCGATGCACATTTACACGCTGTTAGAGATGGTATCTCAAGCGCGAAATTCCGAGTAGGATGTCACGACCTTTAATTTTATGGCATTCACATGTACCCATAATGCACAAAGACTAACGACAGTACATTAGTACATGTTACAATGTTTTCATGTTACAAACATTCTCATCAAGAAACAAAGTAGTCATTGATCTAGACCGAACAACCTCTAAATTTTTATGCTCGTAAATCTTTCTATAGAACTTTTCTCGTTATTAGTCCGACATGAAAACAATCAAAAGGGCAACCTATTCTTTGCCCTCTTAATGAGTTGACCTTCACAATACGATTCCCCTAATTGGATGCAATGAATCACTCGTTGATATGATCCATCGTCGCCATGCCAACTTCACATTCACATTAGTGTGTGTGCTAATTAAGTTTATATATTTAGGGTTTAGGATGATGGATAATGAAATGGACGACCCAACAATTGCGCCGGCACTCTCCTCCCTCGGGCCTCGACCGATCCCTCCAATTATTCGTTTTTACTTCCATACACGCTAATTAATAAATAATTAATAATGCCCATGCTCTAATCATTTCGTTAACCTAATTAATCAACTAATTAAACTATCATGTTCTCCCTTTGCCAATCATTTGGGGGTTTGGCATCGTGTGATTAATTCCTCTACACGTATACCGCCGGAAGTAACCTAGCTATTAGCCCGACTCTCACAAATCAATCATATGCTGCTCAGCTTCCAACAAGCTAGCTTGCATTCACTCCGCTACTACTAATATATTCCATCAAAATTATTCTGAGTGTTTGAGAAGTGCTAGCGGGCGAGACCACGCGACAGATCAACTATCTAGAAAACAAAAGATATGATAACTCATGTCTCGTCAACACGTAGTATGAACTTATGTTGAGGATTCATGACTTTTTCGTTGTTGGATCCACTACGATGTAATAGCGGGAATTTTGAATTTCACGTGATTGGTAAAAAAATAAATTATGCAATCCATTGCGTACTAATGTCACTGTGAATGATATATTATACGGATTTGCAATAAGCATCATCCCGAAAGTAAAGAAAATATCACCAATAGCCAGCACCAAAATTGATCATATTGTGCTTGTAAATTATAAAATTAAGTATTCCTATAGATAGTTCGGGAAAATAACCTATCATCAATCGTCAAAAAACTCTAACTCTGTGTTAAATACGAATATAAACCAATGATTTGAATCGTTACAGGAGGCTAGCTAAATGTCTAATTGTCCAACAACATACTTTAATTACCTCCTTTTTTATGTATTCCAATTGTTTGTATTATTGAAAATGGGTTTTCTTTCCCACACATGATTGGCAATGAAAGGGTATGGAGAAGATGGATCGAGTAGTGTATAGTTGGCAATAGCCAATAGGTGAAGACTGAAGAGAGGAATACTATTTTCAATAATACAAACAATACACACTAGAGATTCTTGCCGTAAAGGGAGGATTTCAACAAATCCATCACAATACCCAAAAGAGAATACTTCTAATTAATACACTATACAAATGAATGTGGCATTGTGAGAGGCACGTAATGTAGGAATAGGGGCAAACTATATTTTGCCTGCCTGCCCTTTGCTAGGACCAAGCTGTATACTTAGCATCCTCAAAGCAAATCAAAGCATATCCATCGAATTGCTTGTTTGTTGATAAGAGTATATTAATAGTTCCCTTCTATGATCCCAATGGATCTATAATGTAAGTGGCACAAAACTTTGGGGACGTTTGTTTTTTTTAAGGGTAGGTAGTGACCTTACAACGTGCTGAAATAAGGGTAGCTAAGGTTCCTTTCTTATATGCTTAGGGCTCTTTGGTTGCTTGCTTGCTTGAGGGGATTGCTATTTCTCTCTTTCTTGGTGACTATACACCCACTCCTACTCCACTTCTCTTCTCTTCTCTTCCTTCCTTGCTTGCTTGTCTTCGAATGTTCAACTTAACTAGCTACCTAGACTAGGTAGCTACTTCATATGACATTGTTCCTTCTATATTCCTTTCCCTCTAATTTGTTTCTCCATCGTGCTGGATGGGATTTAACATGTTTAATCGAGTGCGGTGGTTAATTGTTGCTAATCGGAATGCAGAGAATTATTGAGATGTCAGTATGAATACGGAAAAAAAATGCATATTACAGATCGAGTATCTGGGTGTTCAGACTCAGACCCTATGAGTCGAACTTACAAAGTCCATTGAAAAGTTCACAACAGTGGCTCTCGAACTGAACCAAATTTAAGGGCTGGTTACTTGTTAGCCCTCTCTAATTGTAGACACTTTTTTTGTCTCTCCGTGGATTTTGTCTCGCTACAAGTTAACTATTTCATATTTTATCTCTACGTACCTTTCTTCCTTACCGATAATGTCGTACGAAGTGGAGTTTTAATGAGAACCCATGACCTCATTGTTATTGTTCTAATTAAGCACAGTACTCTAACCAACTTGAATGTAACAACAACCTTACTCTTGTATCTTATTTTGTGTAAGTTGAGTTGCACCATCATTGTAGCTCAAAAGCACTAGTGGTGTCTTATAAACCTAATCAAATGGTCCAATGGAAAGGAAAGCAAAAGAAGAGCTAAGGGATGTCCCTATTCCTAACATTCATTGGGATCACCTGCCGAAAAGTACCACAACAAAGGATCGAATTCCTGAAGTGTTGGTTGTGGCCCTAGCTAGCCAAGATGAATTGGATCCATCAATGAGAAGGCATGAAAGGGAAGAAAAGGGCACTAATAAAAGGGATTCTTTGCCGCCAAAGTCACACTACTATTTCGTCATCTCCGTTCTAACATAAGGAATGATAAAAGGGAAGCCTTTTCAAAGAGGCATTTCCCACTTTTTTGCAATATAACTGAAAGAAACTAATTCTCGTTGTGATGGAAGTTTTGGTTCTATTTTCCAAATCAAGGCTTCCTTTCTCTAAGTTAGCTTATTTCCTATCAGCATGGTTCTTATCTACCCACCATAGAGTACATGATCGAACGAAAAAACCAAAGTAAATTCTCACTAGAGTGTAATTACATAAGAGCTTGCAATGTTGTGAAGATAGATCGAATTGTAAGTCAAACCCATAAGATTGAATTTCGTATATATTTATCATAGATTATGTTTAGATAACCTGTCAATATTTGATGGTTGTTGGCTAATATAATTATATACAATTAGTGGGAAAAAGTAGCAATTTCAACCTGGCCGCACCGTAAGCAGGCACGAATTGGATATGGTTACTCTTCTCGACTTGATATGCTCTTTTATCAACTCGTCTTTTTTTTTTGTATAAATTACATGTAATTGTACTCAAATTACTTAAAATTTTACTTTAATTGCCACATATTTTATCTATAATAAAATTATAAATAGACGAGAACCTCAATTTCTCGAACAATCCAATTACATTTATCATGTTAGGGTTTGTTTCTTGATTTTTCAATAAAATTCTGTTAAAATTTTGATCTTTTAATAATAAAAAATTATTAGTTCCAATTTCCCCCCTAAATTACATACCCATAGTGATCGAACTTCCCCGACCAATAATAAATTATTCTACATGAACCCTACTTCTCACATGACGGATATATGTGTCGAGTTCTCTCTCCTATTGTTGGGCCAAACTCGCTTGAGAGCTGGACAGGCTTAATGGGCTTTATGTTAATGACTATCGAGTCTATTGTGGTAGTCATGCTGACCTGAGAGTGTGAGACCTCTACACAGTTCATTCACCACTACTCTTGAAGAAGGGGAGAAGCTGGGCTCATTCTCTTATCACGGCCCAACATAATCAGACCCAATTCGGCCGCCTAACCGCCCAAAACCGGAGAAGTGGCCTTTCTTGTCAAGGCAACCGTGCCTACACAAAACCAGGGGTTTTCTGGTTTGATCAAGGTTGTCAACCCGCGGGTCGAGCCGGACCCGGTTGAGCTAGTGGGTCAAGGGTTAATGGGTCAACCGTTTTAGCCCGGT